AGAAGAGGCTCAGCTATCTTGGATCTGGTTCGCGGCCAGAAAGTTGACGACGCGCTGGTAACGCTCAGGTTGCTGCCCTCGCCTTGGGCGAAACCTGTGGCCAAGGTGGTCCAATCTGCGGCCGCCAACGCGGAAAACAACATGCTGATGGATCGGGACAACCTCCGGATCATTCAGATCACTGCCGACAATGCGACTTCCCTGAAGCGGTTCCGGCCCAGGGCCAGGGGCCGAATCGGCCGGATTACCAAAAGGTCCAGCCACGTTACAGTGGTGGTAGACGAAGAAGAGTAGCAGGAGATTGAGGTATGGGCCACAAGACCCATCCATACGGGTTTCGACTGGGTATCATAAAGGACTGGAAGGCGCATTGGTACGCGTCCACTGGTTCGGCCTATCGGAACTTGGTCAAGGAAGATCTCGACCTGCGGTCATGTATCCGCAATGAGTACCGCATGTTCTCCGACGCAGGTATTGCCAATGTCGTAATCGACCGCGGCGCCCAGGACAGCGTTATTGACATCCATTCGGCGCGGCCCGGCATACTCATTGGCCGTGACGGAGAGCGCGTGAAAAACCTGCGGTCCAAGCTTGAGGCAATTACCCGGAGCCGTGTTCAGCTCAACATCAGGGAAATCGAGCAGCCTGAGATCAACGCCTACCTGGTTGCCCGCAACGTCGCCGATCAGCTTGAGCGGCGGGTTGCTTACCGCAGGGCCATGCGACAAGCGGCCCAGAGGGCCATGCAGGCGGGAGCCCAGGGGATCAAGATCATTGTCAAAGGACGAATTTCCGGGTCGGAAATCGCCCGAACTGAGAAATTAATGCTAGGTCAGGTTCCGCTGCACACCCTCCGGGCTAACATCGACTATGCCATTGCGGAGGCCCACACTATTATGGGCCGTGTTGGCGCGAAGGTCTGGGTTTATACCGGTGAGGTCATGCCGGTCCGGGCCGAAGAGGCAGCGGAACTGGAAAATATCGAGGTCACGGTGCAGGCCGACGGGCCCGACATTGACATCGAAGCACTGATTGACGCTAACCAAGAATAGGTGCTGAAGTCCCAGTAAGATTGAAGGCTGCCTGACAAAACTCATTAAAAAGCCTTGAAGGGCGGCAGGAGATAGCCATGCTCCAACCAAAGCGCACAAAGTACAGGAAGCAATTCCGGGGCCGGATGCGAGGCGCAGCGATCGCCGGTAGCACCGTGAACTCCGGCGAGGTAGGACTCAAGGCCATGGAGCCCGCTTGGATTACGGCTCGCCAGATTGAATCTGCCCGTGTCGCCATAACCCGTCATCTCAAGCGCGGCGGGCAAGTATGGGTTCGCGTGTTCCCTGACAAGTCTGTTACCAAGAAGCCAGCCGAGACCCGCATGGGCGGCGGCAAAGCAGGCGTGGATTTCTGGGTCGCTGTCGTCAAACCAGGCCGCATCATGTTTGAGGTGTCCGGCGTACCCCACAACGAGGCCGTCGATGCCCTGCGCCTGGCTTCTCAGAAGCTGCCGATCGCCACGAAGGTCGTGTTCCGCGATCGCTTGGCCACGGCCGTGAGCAACGCGGCTGCTTAGTCGAGATTATGCGAATTCACGAAGTACGAGAACTTAATGACGAGCAACTCCAGGAGGAGTTGGCCAAGGCCGGCCGTGAGTTGATGAACCTGCGGTTCCGCGCTGCGACCAATCAGCTGCCCAACTCCAATGAACCTGTGACAGTTAGAAGAACCATTGCCCGCCTGCGTACGGTGATCCGCGAGCGGCAGATATTGGAGGGCCGTTAGTGGTAACAAGAGGCAGGCGCAAGGTTCGTATGGGATCGGTAGTGCGGGTGAAGCAGGACAAGACGGCAGTGGTGGAAATGGTCTGGAAACAGCGTCATCGCCTATATCGCAAGCAGGTGAGGCGTGTGGCCCGTTTCTACGTACACGACCCGGAAAACCAGTGTCGACTGGGTGACTTGGTCAGGATAGAAGAGACGCGGCCGATTTCGAAGACCAAGCACTGGCGGTTGTTAGGGATACTGGAACGCCGCCAGGTGGCTGAGGTCCGCCCCATTGATCTGGAGGGTGATGCGGTCACTGTGGTGACTGAATCCGAGCTGGAAGATGCGGTGCCCGATATGGACGAGGACATTGATCCTGAACTCCTAGGGCTTCTTGTTACCGGTAACGACGACTACGAGGACGATGAGGACGACTAGCGGCAACTGACCCTAGGACTTTTGCAGTCCGGGTGCGATCCGAAGGATTTAGGGAATGATACAGACCTACACAAGGCTGACCGTGGCGGACAATAGCGGGGCAAGGGTTATCCGCCTCATCAACATACCTGGCAGCGGCCGTAGAAAGTTTGCCAGCCTCGGAGACGTGGTGGTCTGCAACGTGCGGGAAGCAGCACCAAACTCGCCCGTGCGCAAAGGCGATGTGGTCCGCGCCGTGGTGATACGGCAGGCCCAGGCGCACCGCCGCCCAGACGGTACCTACATCAAAGTTTGACGACAACGCAGCCGTACTGATTTCAGAGAATCTCAATCCCCGGGGAACTCGGATTTTTGGTCCGGTGGCCCGGGAGTTGCGCGACCGCGGCTTCATGCGTATCGTGTCCCTGGCCCCGGAGGTAGTCTGATGCGAATTCGCGCTGGCGATAACGTGATGGTCATCGCAGGCCGGGACAAAGGCAAGACCGGTCGCGTCGAGCGGAATCTACCCGACAGGGACCGGGTGGTTGTCGAAGGCGTGAACGTGGTGACCAAGCATATGAAGGGACGCCCGGGAGTACGGCAATCGGGGCGCATCCAGATGGAGGCGCCGATTCATGTCTCTAACGTTGTCCTAATTTGCAATAAGTGCAACGAACCCACCAGGCCCCGAACCACTTTCCTCGATACGGGGGCGAGGGTGCGGTCCTGCACCAAGTGTCAGGAAGTGATCGACGATGCTCGATGACGAAACACAGCAACAAGAAACCGCAGAGCAGCCCAGCCAGGGGCGAGGGCGCTCAGGCAGGCGGCAGCGTGAAAGTGATTCTGCAGCGGCCGTAGCCGATGCAGAAGGCTCCACACCACCTGCGCCCAGGCTTAGGCAGCAGTTCCGGGAAGAGATAGTCCCGCAGATGATGCGTGAGTTTAGCTACTCCAACCCAATGGAAGTGCCGCGCCTCCAGAAGGTGGTGCTTAATATTGGGTTGGGGGAATCGTTGACCAACGGGCGCGCGATGGAAGCGGCCACCCAGGACTTGACGACGATCAGCGGACAGAAGCCGGTAATTACCCGGGCCCGCAAGTCCATCGCGGGGTTCAAGATTCGCCAGGGCAACGCAATCGGTGCCGCAGTGACGCTGCGTGGGGACCGGATGTACCATTTCTTGGACCGACTGGTGAATACGGCGTTGCCGCGCATCAGGGACTTTCGTGGAATGCCCCGCCGAGGCATGGATGGGCGTGGTAAATTTTTCTCTCGGCATCCGGGAACAGATCATTTTCCCGGAAATTGACTACAACTCGATCGATAGGATCCGCGGACTCCAGGTCACCATAGCCACTACGGCGCGCAACGACGCAGAGGCGATGAGGCTGTTGGAGCTCTACGGGTTCCCTTTCATTCGCGAGACTTAGCGGAGGCACTGCGTGGCGAAGACTTCCATGATACAAAAGTGGCTTAAGAAACCCAAGTACCCGGTGCGGGTTACAATCGCTGCGGTCGCTGCGCCCGCCCCCGCGCCTATATCCGCCACGTAGGATTGTGCCGGATCTGTTTTCGGGAGCTTGCCCTGAATGGGGAGTTGCCCGGAGTAAGGAAGGCCAGTCTTTAGGGTGCGTTACTTGTTGGACACTGATCAGCGACATTTTCGAAAACTCATGATTCTAGAGACGAGGCGCAGATGCCGGTAACCGATCCCATAGCTGACATGCTTACGCGAATCCGCAACGCCATCCAGGCGCGGCATGATTCCGTGATGATGCCCCACTCCAAGATGAAGCTGGCCGTAGCCAGGATTTTGAAGGAGGAGGGATTCATCCGCGATTTCGACACGCCGAGGGGCCAGGCCCACCCCGCCCTGCGCATTCATCTGCAGTATCGGGAGGGGCGCCAATCCGCAATCGCCGGGCTCAAACGGATTAGCAAACCCGGTCTCCGGGTGTACGTGGGCAAAGGCGAGATCCCCAGAGTCTACGGGGGTCTGGGGCTGGCGATCGTTTCCACTTCACGTGGAGTTATGGCTGGACGTCAAGCGTGGCGCGATGGAATCGGAGGAGAGTTGCTCTGTTATGTCTGGTGAAGCCAATGGAAATGGCAAGGCACAAGGGCGGACGCTGTCGCGCATCGGACGAAAGACCATCCCGGTTCCGGGCGGCGTTTCGGTCGAGATCGGATACGGGGAGATTACGGTATCCGGACCGAGAGGAACTATCACCCAGGCCTATCACCCTGATGTCGTGGTCAAGTTGGAAGAAGACGATATCGTGGTAGAGCGCCTCAGCGAGAGGAAGTTTCATCACGCGCTGCACGGTCTGACCCGCAGTCTCGTCGCTAACGCGGTTACCGGGGTAACCGAGGGCTACACCCGAACGCTGGAGCTGATGGGGCGTTGGTTACCGTGTGCAAGCATCTGGTGACGGTGTAGTCCTCAACGTGGGGTATAGCCACCCGGTGGAGATTCATCCGCCTGAAGGCGTGACGATGGAAGTCGAGGGCAACAACAGGGTTCACGTCCGCGGTATCGACAAGCAGAAGGTGGGCCAGCTTGCCGCGCAGGTGCGCCGGGTGCGACCCCCCAACGCATACAAGGAAAAAGGGATTCGTTACCAGGGAGAGGTACTGCGCTTCAAGCCAGGTAAGTCGGCCGCGCGCAAGGCCTAGCCAAAACAATATCCGTGGAGGTGCTGGTCGTCCGCAACTTAAGTGGGCGCCAGTGAAATCGAGTCAGGTATGCCTAAAGACAAAAATGCCAGACACCTGCGCAAGGTACGCCAAGCGCGGGTCAGGAAAAAAGGTATCGGGGACAGCGGAACGGCCTCGGTTGTCGGTGTTCCGGAGTCTGAAGCACATATACGCTCAGGTGATTGACGATTCCACTGGACGTACAATAGTGGCAGCCTCAAGCCAGGAGGCCCTGAGGGGCACTGCAGATGCCGCCAATGGTCCCAAGATTGATATCTCGGCTTCGGTAGGCAAAGTGTTGGCCGAACGGGCCCTGACAGCCGGAGTAACCCAGGTTGTCTTTGACCGGGGCGGTTGCAAGTATCATGGGCGCGTGAAGGCGTTGGCCGACGGGTCCCGCGAAGGCGGCCTAAAGTTCTAGGCCGCCTCAAGAGGACCGAAAGGCACGAATCAGGGAGGTCTTAACCTCAGATGGTACAAGCTCCACCAAGTAGACGCGGTGGACCAGGCCGGGCCGGTGTTCCACCAGGCCGTGGCGGCCCGCCGGGACAGAACAGGCAATTTCGGGATGGACCCGGGGGCCGTGGTCCTCGTGATGGTCGCGCTCCGCGCGAAAGGGCACCCAGGGAAGACGACACCGGCGGATTCCAGGAACGTGTTGTCTTCACTCGACGTATTGCAAAAGGTCGTGAAAGGAGGGCGTCGCCTTCGCTTCAATGCCTTGGTTGTGGTTGGCGACGGTCAGGGCACTGTGGGTGCCGGCCTGGGGAAGGCGCTAGTTATTCCGGACGCGGTGCGAAAGGGAAACGCGGTCGCCCGTCGCGAGATGGTCACCATTCCTCTGAATGGAAGCACGATCCCGCAACAGATTACCGTAAAGAAGGGCGCCACCATCGTGCTAATAAAGCCTGCCCGCGAGGGCACGGGAGTAATCGCGGCTGGCGCTATGCGGGCCATACTGGAACTTGGCGGCGTCAAGGATGTCGTCGGGAAGTCCCTGGGTTCGCGGAACCCCATTAACATCGTGTACGCGACCATGGAGGCGCTGCGCCAGCTGAAAGATCCGGCAACGGAACTGGCTAAGCGTGGCTTGCGCCCCGCGCCCGTTGCTGCAGCTGTAGCAGCAGAGGGCGCAGCAAGTAGTACAGCAGAGGGCACTTAATCGTCGTCCGCTACTCTTAAGATAGCCGACGAAAATGCGGGACCAATTTATGGCTGAACTGAAGATAACGTGGGCGAAGAGCTGCATCGGGCGGCCGAGGAATCAGCGGGAAGTCATCCGCTCCCTGGGCCTGCATCACCTGCAGCATACGGTTGTCCACCAGGACTCTCCGACCATTCGGGGAATGGTCAAGAAAGTGGAGCATCTGTTGCGAGTAGAGAAGGTCGGAGGCGCGGCATGATGCAGCATCAAGTAGCGCCGCCCAAAGGGGCGCGCCGTAGTCGGAAACGCATCGGCCGCGGAGACGCGGCAGGTCAGGGAAGTACCGCCGGACGTGGCATGAAGGGGCAGAAGTCGCGCTCGGGGCGCGGGCCCCGGCTCGGGTTCGAGGGTGGGCAACTCCCGATAATCAAGGCCCTGCCCATGCGGCGTGGCTTCACCAATATATTCAAGACGTATTACACGCTAGTCAAATTGGAGACATTGGACCGCTTCGAGGCCGGCGATGTAGTGACTGCCGAGGTCTTGGCCGAGCGCGGTTTCATACGCAACCTTAACCACCCGGTGAAGATTGTCGGTGGGGGTGAGTTGACGAAGTCGCTCCGGGTAGTTGCTGACAAGTTCACTCGCACGGCGCGGGAGGCTATCGAGGCGACCAAGGGTACGGCGGAGGAAGTCTCTGCCCGATGATGGCCACCGAGACTCAAGGTGGGCGCTTTCCGCGGTTGCTGCAGGCAGCCATAGATGCGTTCAGCCTGCCGGACCTGCGCGCAAAGATCCTCTTTACCTTGGCGATACTGGCCCTGTATCGCTTTATCGCGCACATTCCGCTGCCAGGGATTGACCAACTCCAGCTCGATAACCTTTTCCGCAACAACGAGTTACTGGGGTTTCTGGATCTTTTCAGCGGCGGCGCGCTCAGCAGGATGAGCATCGTCGCGCTGGGTGTTTTCCCCTACATCACGGCTTCGATCGTCATCCAGTTGCTGACGCCCGTCTTCCCGCAGCTGCAAGAAATCTCCCGGGAGGGAGAGGCCGGGCGAGCCAAGATGAACCGCATCATCCACTGGCTGACGGTGCCGATCGCGCTGGCACAGGGCTACGGTCAGCTAGTGTTGCTGCAGCAGAGCAATGTGATAGCCAGCGTTGGCTTTACCGGGGATGCGCTTCTACCCACGGTGGCGGCCCTCTTATCCATAACCGCAGGGACGATGTTCCTGGTGTGGCTTGGTGAAATGATCACCGAGCGGGGCATTGGGAATGGAATCTCGCTGATCATTTTCGCGGGTATCGTTGCCGGGTTCCCGAGTCTGCTCACCCAGGGTTTCCTTGACCGGGACAACGTGTTGGGCGTCGGTTTCTTTGCCATTATCGGCGTGGTGATCATCGCCCTCATAGTACTGTTCAACGAGGCTCACCGCCGCATACCAGTGCAGTATGGCCGCAGTATTTTCCGGGGCGGAAGGATGTATCGGCAAAGTGGCGCAACCTATTTGCCTCTGCGAATAAACTCGGCGGGAATGATACCTCTCATTTTTGCCTTCTCCATAGTTATTTTGCCGGGCACCATCGCGACTTACCTGTCGACCAACACCACATGGGTTGGCGATGTGGCCAATTTCTTCGCCGTCCTGCTAGTGCCCACGTCGCCCCTTTACTGGGGGATGGTGTTTGTGCTGGTGGTGTTGTTCACTTTCTTCTACACGCTGGTGATCTTCAACCAGCAAAATCTGGCGGAGAATTTGCAGCGCAATGGCGGCTTCGTGCTGGGCATAAGACCAGGCAGGCCAACGCAGGACTATTTGAACCGGGTGATCGTGCGCATCACCATGGGCGGCGCGCTCTTCCTCGGTTTCGTTGCCATAGTACCGTACCTGGCGTCGCTGATTACAGGGGTACAGGCGATCTCGCTCAGCAGTACCAGTTTGTTGATCATGGTGGGAGTCGGCCTGGATACCATGCGCCAGCTGGAAGCTCAGCTAACCATGCGAAACTATGAAGGATTCCTGAGATAACGTGGCTGCAAGCCTTCGACTTGTACTGTTTGGACCGCCGGGAGCCGGAAAAGGCACCCAAGCTCAGCTACTGACGGACTGCTACCATTTGGCTCATGTAAGTTCGGGCGACATCTTCCGTCACAATCTGCGGCAAGGGACGCCCCTGGGCCTCAGGGCAAAGGAATACATGGATCGGGGCGAATTGGTGCCTGACGAAGTGGTAATCGACATTATGTTGGACAAGATATTATCGATCCCCTCTGAGGATGGCTTCATTCTCGACGGGTTTCCGCGAAATACTTGGCAGGCGGAACAGTTGGAATCAGCGTTGACCGCCGGATCGCGCGCCGTCGACCGTGTGCTGCACATCGACGTGGCAGAGGAAGAGTTGGCGCGACGACTCGGGGGGCGCTTCGTATGCAGAGAATGCCAGGCGCCCTACACTCACCTGGGTGGCGCTCCGGCTCCAAATTGTGAGCGCTGCAATGGCGAACTGTACCAGAGGGACGACGACCGGCCCGAGGCGGTGCAGAAGAGGATAAACGTTTACCGTGAAGAAACGACGCCGGTGCTGGCCTTTTACCGGGACCGGGGACTGCTGGTTGATATACCTGGGCAGGAAGCCGTGGACGGCGTGTTCAAGCACATCGTGGAGGCTCTTTAGACTGCGGCGAAAGGCCATCGCCTTTTAATCGGTCGCTCTTGAGAGTATAATGATAAAGTGAATAGGAGTCGCAAAAAGGAAACCGCATCCACTTCGCCCTCCTCCTACTCTGGCGGAATAACAATAAAATCTGCTCGTGAGCTCGACTCCATGCGGAAGGCAGGTGAGATCGTCGGCAAGACGCTAGCCCTGCTGAAAGCTTCGGTCGAACCGGGTATGACTACACGGGACCTCGACCGAATTGCGTTCAAGGAGATCACTCGGAGCGGAGCCAGTCCGACATTCAAGGGTTATCGGGGATTCCCGGCAACCATTTGCACTTCTGTGAACGAGGAAATCGTCCATGGGATTCCTGGACGGCGTAAACTCCAAGAAGGCGACATCATCAAGGTTGATGTCGGGGCGACAATAGAGGGTTTTATCGGAGACGCCGCGGTCACCATCGCTGTCGGCGAGGTGCCTGAGGCGTTGTTGGCATTGATGGAAGACACCAGACTAGGTCTGGAAGAGGGAATAAAGGCAGCCGTACCCGGAGCACGTGTTGGAGACATAGGTGCCGCCGTGCAGGAATACGGCGAGTCTCGAGGTTACGGGGTGGTACGAGAGTTCGTAGGCCACGGCGTGGGACGTTTCCTGCATGAGGATCCCCAGGTGCCGAATTACGGGTGGCTGGCCGTGGGGCATTGCTGCGCCCCGGTATGTGCATCGCCATTGAGCCTATGTTCAATGCGGGAGACTGGCGGACCAGGATTCTGGATGATGATTGGACTGTGGTCACCGCGGACGGGAAACTTTCTTCCCATTTTGAACATTCAATAGCCATCACAAATCAGGGCCCTGAAATACTAACAACACACAGTTAATTGCCGCTTGATGTCGGAGAGTATTCTGACCGGCATCAAGATATTGAACGAGACCTATTGGAAAGGGGTTTTATGGCGAAGAAGCAGGCAATAGAAGTCGAAGCCAGCGTCAAGGAAGCGCTCCCTAACGGTATGTTCCGGGTTGAGCTGCCCAACGACCACGAGGTGCTGGCTCATGTGTCCGGCAAAATACGCATGAACTTCATTAGGGTGCTGCCTGGCGACAGGGTGCTCGTGGAACTTTTCTCCTTACGATCTGACCCGAGGCCGCATCACTTACAGGTTCAAATAGCATTTCCAATTCATAACTACCACGCTGGACACCAAAGGCTTTTGTATTGAGTCCTGCGAGGTCGGGCGAGGGCCTGGCCCTGTCTTTGTTTCTAGACTTGTACGAACATCGGGGCACCAAATGAAAGTAACAGCATCAGTGAAGCCGCGGTGCGACAAGTGCCGCGTCATAAAAAGAAAAGGCGTGATCCGCATCATTTGCGTGAACGCAAGGCACTCGCAGCGGCAGGGCTAATCCTGCCAGGTTTTTTGCATTTTCGACCGTTCAGGCCGCAGGAGGAACCGTGGTACGCATAGCCGGAGTAGATGTACCCGACCGAAAAGGGCACACGTAGCCCTCCGTAGCATCTATGGGATAGGCCCCAAGCTGGCGGAGGAAATTATTGTCAAGGCGGACTTGGACCCGGTAATGCCGCCTCGAATGAACGAACTTTCAGAGGCCCAGGTCAACCGCATCCGCGAGCTAGTGGATCGGGAATATCTGTCCGAAGGGGATCTGCGCCGGGAAGTGAACCAGAATATCCGGCGGCTGATGGACATTGGCTCCTACCGGGGCTTGCGCCATCGCCGCAATCTGCCCGTGAGCGGGCAGCGCACTCGCACAAACGCCCGTACGCGCAAAGGCCCGCGCCGCACTGTTGCGGGACGCGGCCGACGCACCGGCGGCAAGAAGTAGGCGGTGTAACAAATGCCGAGACCCAGGACTAGGCGCCGAGAGCGTCGTACCGTACCACAGGGGCGGGCTTATATCTATTCGACTTTTAATAACACGCTGGTCAGCATCACCGACCCGCAGGGCAATGTAATCGCTTCAGCGAGCTCTGGAGTCGTTGGCTTCAAGGGGTCCCGTAAGGGTACCGCCTTCGCGGCTCAACGCGCTGCGGAGCAGGCGGGGCGCCGTGCCGGTGAGTCGGGGATGCGTCTCATCGACGTGTTCATCAAGGGTCCAGGGGCTGGACGCGAGGCTGCCATTCGCTCCTTGCAGGGGGCGGGTCTGGTGGTTACCAGCATCCGCGATGTTACGCCCATTCCGCACAACGGGTGTCGTCCACCCAAACGAAGGAGAGTGTAGGGCAACTACTTATGGGAAGATATACAGGACCGGCCTGTCGACTGTGCAGGCGCTCCGGCGAAAAACTGTTTCTAAAAGGCGACCGCTGTTTCACGCCTCGCTGCTCATTCGAGAAGCGACGCAACCCACCGGGCAACATCTCGCGCCGTCGACGACGCCCATCGGACTACGGGGTTCATCTGCTGGAAAAGCAGAAGGCCAAGTACATCTACGGGGTGATGGAGTCCCAGTTCCGTAAGTACATGGACGAAGCGTTCAACACACCGGGAGTTACCGGGATGAACTTGCTTCGTAGCCTTGAGCGGCGGTTGGACAACGTTATTTACCTGATGGGTTTCGCTGATTCCCGCAAGCAGGCCCGCCAGTTTGTACTGCACGGACATTTCCAGGTTAATGGACGAAAGACTGATATTCCGTCTTATTCGGTCAGGGCTGGCGATTGCGTCACTTGGCGGGAATCCGACAAGACAACCGAATTTTTCTCAGATCGAACGGTGGGGCTGCCGAAGCGTCCGGTACCGGCTTGGCTTGCCTTGGACATCAGCGAGATGGCAGGTCGCGTTGTTTCCCTCCCTTCCGACGAGGATTTGCAGACCACTTTGGACTCCAGGCTAATTGTAGAGTTTTACTCGAGGTAATTCAGTGTCAATGTTAGACACTTTCGTTGTGCCTGCCGCAGCCCCACTTGAGGGCCCAGCAGTACCCACACCCGAAATTTCGGTACAGGTCTCCGAGGACACCTACGGCAGAGTCGCCGTGGGACCGCTGGAACGCGGGTTTGCACAGACAATCGGCAATCCGCTGCGGCGTATTCTGCTCAGCTCCACCCCGGGTACCGCCGTGACTTGGGTGAAGATCGGGGACGTGGTCCATGAATACATGGCCATTCCAGGCGTTAAAGAGGAGGTGATGGAGATCCTCCTCAACATCAAGGGCATACGCATCCGGTCGGCAACTGGACGCGACGGGAAAATGCGACTTGAGGTTAGGGGCGGCGGTCCTATTTGTGCGGGGGACATTATGACGTCCTCCGACTTTGAAATCGTCAATCCTGAACAGCATCTTGCCACCCTCGATGACGAGGAAGTTGAGCTGGCAATTGAGTTTAACGTCCGGCAGGGCACCGGTTATCAAACCGCGCAGCCCGGCGAGGACGGTCTAAACCTCCCAGCGGGCGCGCTGCCGGTTGACGCGATATTCAGCCCCGTAAGGAAGGTGAACTTCAAGGTCGAACGTACCCGCGTCGGGCAAATTACCGACTTTGAACGTTTGCTCCTGGAAGTGTGGACCGACGGGGCCATTCGACCCATTGAGGCCGTTCAGCAGGCCGCCGAAAAGTTGGTGCAGAATTTCCTTCTGTTCAGCAAGCTCAATAGGGCTGCAGAACACGGAATAGACCGTGCCCCGCTGGTCGTTTCTCCCGAAATCTACCAGACTCCCATCGAGAAGCTGGAACTTTCGCCTCGGACTTTAAACTGCCTGAAGCGGGCGCAGATCAACCGGGTGGGCGAAGTTCTTGAAATGAGTGAAGATGACCTGCTGAGGATTCGCAATTTTGGCGAAAAATCATTGGTCGAGTTGCAGGAAAAGCTGGCGGAGCACGGGATTACCAGTACCAAACAGGAGTCAGATTCTGAGTCGGCTTCCGTTGGACTTATAACCGCGGATGATCTTACCGAGTTGATGGGCGGCGGAGACGAGGATGATTCCGCTGCTCTTCCAGTAGGCATGACTTTCGAAGACGACAGCCCGATCGATTCCGATGATGAACCGGAAGGAGATGGGCTGGACGACGAGGAGTTGGACTAGCCATGGCTTCCCATCGTGTCTCAGGGCGTAGACTTAGCCGCTACAAGGACCAGAGAAAGGCCCTGATGCGCGGCTTGGTCTCAGAATTGATTACACATGAACGAATTACTACCACCCTGGCAAAAGCCAAGGAAACCCGGATTGTGGCCGAGAAGCTGATCACTCACGGCAAAAAGGGCAACCTTCATCACCGGCGACTGGCACTGGCGCAGATCCCTAATAAGAAAGTGGTGGAAAAGGTCTTTGATGACGTGGCTGCCAGGTACGCCGAGCGTCAGGGTGGATACACCCGAATCGTAAAGCTGGGGCCCCGCCAGGGAGATGCCGCCCAGATGGCGGTGATCGAACTGGTTTGATGGAGCGCACCAGATAGTCGGAGCTGAGGAACTGCCGTCAGGCGGCGGCGGGCCGGAAATCTTGCCTGTCCGACCTCAGAGGCGGATAGCGCTCTGGGTGGAGTATCAAGGCACCAATTACAACGGGTTTCAACTGCAGCTTAACCATCCTACGATACAGGGAGCACTGGAGGAATCGCTGGCCAGGTTCACTGGTGAGCGGATTCGAGTGCGAGGAGCCAGCCGCACCGACTCGGGGGCGCATGCTGTCGGGCAGGTGGTTGACTTTCTGACCAGTTCGAGACACTCGGCAGACAGGTTTGAGCCGGCTTTGAATTACTTTCTGCCGGATGATATAAGGATCCGCAATGCTCGTCCGGTTGAAAAGGAATTCCACTCGAGGCGATCGGCGAGCAGCAGAGTGTATCAGTATCGCTTGTTGGCCCGGAAGGAGCCCACGGCGTTGCTCCGAAACACGCACCTGTGGGTGAGGGAGCATCTGGATACGTCCCGAATGGCGGAGGCTGCCTCAGCACTGGCAGGGACCCACGATTTCCGTATAATCTCGTCGGGGCACCCAAAGGACCGAAGCGCAGTCCGTTCGGTCAGCCGCTGGGAAGTAAAACGAGACGGCGATACTATAATAGTAGAATGTGAAGCCAACGGGTTCCTGAAGCAGCAGATCAGGAAAGCTAACGGGATCCTGCTTGAGATAGGCAAGGGCAAACAACCTGTCGAACTTATAAGACACACACTGGAAGGGCATGCCGGGCAACGAGACATACCGTTGTTGCCTGCCAGAGGGCTCTGCCTGATTGAAGTGAAATACCCGGAAGGCACTTTTTGTGCACCTCCACTGGAGACCAAAGAGGATTCATGAAGAGAACCAGTACATACTTCCCGAAACCCGGGGACGTTGACGCCAACTGGAAGGTGATGGACGCTACCGGGCAGACCCTGGGCCGGCTGGCGCGGGACATCGCGGTGACTCTGCAAGGCAAAGACAAGCCGTCATATACCCCCCACACCATGACCGGCGATTTCGTGGTCGTGGTCAATGCCTCAAGGGTACGAACTACGGGGCGGAAGACCACCCAGAAATACTACTACCGTCACTCTGGATATGTCGGCAACTTGAAGTCCATTCGGCTTCGCGAGATGCTGGAAGACAGACCTGAGCGGGTGATCGAGTTGGCGGTTAAAGGGATGTTGCCGCGCAACCACATGGGGCGCCAGATGCTGAAGCGCCTGAAGGTCTACGCCGGTTCTCAGCACCCCCATGAAGCGCAGGCAGCCCAGGTCAGCTAATTCCACCTGCCGCAGCAGCGGCTGGTGAGGGACGGAGGCCAGACCCCTTGGTGCAATTGGACGCAGCTCAGCAGTATTATTACGGAACTGGAAAACGGAAGACGGCCATAGCTCGCGTACGGCTGTACGTAGACAGCGGCGGGCCATTCATCGTCAACAGTAAGCCGATGGACGAGTATTTCGGTTGGTCGACTTGGCAGCGAATTGCCAATGATGCATTCCACGTCACCAATACCACTAACCGGTTTCGGGTTGTGGCAAAGGTTGTCGGAGGTGGCGTAAATGCCCAGGCCGAAGCTGTGCGCCACGGAATCACCCGGGCCCTGATCGCCTTCGACCCCGCAATGAAGCCTGCCCTACGACGCGCCGGGTTTGTTACCAGGGACGCCCGTATCAAGGAGAGCAAGAAATACGGATTGAAGCGGGCCCGCCGGGCTCCGCAGTACACCAAGCGTTAAAGGTATAGGTCGTCTAAGGCCCCTTACGTCAGGTCGATCTATGGAAACGCCCCGAATTTACTCGGGGCGTTTGCTTTGTACTGAGCGTCAGGCTATCACTCCGCTCTAGGGTGTTTCGCTAGAAAGTCGTCGGCAATTTCGTTGAAGGTTAGGAACTGCACGCCGTCGTGAGAGGTTATGTACTCGGTGAGCCGTTCCAGCATCAGGATGACCTGGGGTCGCCCGCTAACATCAGGGTGGATGGTGATAGGGAAGATCGCGTCGTCGTATTCCCTGTAAACGTAGTCGAACTGGTCCCTCCACATCGACTCGATGTCTCTCGGATTGACGAATCCGTGACTGTTGGGCGACTTCTTGATGAACATCATTGGAGGCAGGTCATCCAGGTACCAGTTGGCGGGGATCTCAACCAGATTGGTCTCTACACCTCTCTCCAGTGCGTGCATCCAGACATCAGCCGGCTGAGAATAGTCGATCTTGGTCCAATGGTCGCCTACGCGCACGTAATAGCACTCGAAGTCCTTGTGCATCAGGCTGTGATCGTACTTAATGCCGTGCTTGAGTAGCAGTTCGTTAGTTACGTGGCTGAATTCCCACCACGGGGCCACGTAGCCCGTGGGGGGCGTGCCTGCCAATTTGGAGAGCACCTCAATGCAGCGTAGAAGCACCGCTTCCTCCTGGTCCGGCGACATTGAGATGGGATTTTCATGGGAGTAGCCGTGTAGGCCTATCTCATGGCCGGCGTCGACAATCATCCGGCATTCATCAGGAAAGGTCTCTGCCGAATGTCCGGGAATGAACCAGGTGGTCCTGATGCCCAGGCGGTCGAACATTCTGACGAGCCTTGGGGTGCCCACCTCGCCTGCGAACAATCCCCGCGAAATGTCATCGGGAGAGTCTTCGCCACCGTATGAGCCCAGCCATCCGCCTACGGCGTCGAGGTCCACACCGAAGGCGCAAAGTATTCGTTTTCCCGCCATTTGGTCTCCCTCCAATCAAATCCTGTAGGGAATGCAAAAACCGTCAATCCGTCTGCAAGGGTCCCCGCTGAGGAATGCCCGCTAGTCTAAACACCCAAGTATTCGGCTGCGGCGTCCAGGAGGCCATCAACACGCTCTGGTGAGCTGGCTTCTGCGTAGATGCGCAGGAGCGGCTCGGTGCCCGAGAATCGCACCGCAAGCCAGCCGTCCTCAAAATGAAGCCGTCGACCATCGATGCTGTCCGAGGACGTCACAGAATAGTGGCCCAAGCGGTCCAGGCCGGGGTCGTTGACCCGCTGGTTGATGCGGTCGCGTTCTGAGGAGGCAAACTCGATATCACGGCGATGATAGTAGTGCGGACCGACCTTCTCGAACAAGTTGGCAAGCAATTGCGAAACGGTCTTGCCCGATTTGGCCATGTATTCCAGCACGAATAGACCGCTCAGTATTCCGTCCCGCTCCGGCACATGCCCCCGGAAGGCGAACCCGCCGCTTTCTTCGCCGGCCATCAGGGCATTCAGCTCGTCCATACGGGGGCCCATATGCTTGAAGCCAACCCTGACCTCGTGAACGTCCACTCCGTATAAGCTGCCCATTTTGTTCAAGGCCTGCGACGCCGTGACTCCCTTGATCAGCGAGCCCCGCCAGCCCTTTGTCTCCAACAGGTATAAGGCCAGCAGGGAAAAGACGTCCAGGGTGGTAACAAACCGCCCGGTTTCGTCGATGATGCCGACCCGATCGGCATCTCCATCCAGTGCTATGCCGACTGACGCTCCGGTGGCTGGTACACGCTCCAGCAGTTCTCCCAGGTTCTGAGCAATTGGTTCGGGTTGCACCATACCCGGGAAAGCCGGATTCCTGTGGCCGTGCAGTTCCTCTACAGTTGTCCTTCCGCCGTCCAGCAGCCGGGGGATATAACTAGCGCCCGCTCCAAACATGGCGTCGACTGTCACGTGGAAACCTGCGGATCGAAATAGCATCGAGATCGACCAGACGGGACAAGTGATCGAAGTACGGCTCTGCAGGCTCTAGGTCTTCGATCAACCCCGAGTTTCGTCCTGTGTCGATTTCATCAAGGTCCGCTGAGCCGACCCGGGCAATCGCCTCCTCCAATTCGTCGGTGATTTCCTGGGTGGCGCTGCCGGCGTATTCGGGTTTGAATTTGAATCCGTTCCAGATGGCGGGATTGTGGCTGGCGGTAATGATGGCGGCGCCGCCGGCCTGGTGGTGCATAACGCTGTAGCTAAGAACGGGTGTGGGGGCAGGGACGTCAGCCAGCAGTGTCCGTATTCCCTGGCTGGCGCAGACGTCTGCGACGGTGGAAGCGAACTCGGGAGAGAGAAACCGGGTGTCGAAGCCTACAATCAGACCTCGGTCGGCGGTGCCTCTGCGCTTCATGAATTCACACAGACCTCGCGCACAGCGGGCCACGTTTGCGAAGGTGTAGTCTTCACCAATTATTGCCCGCCAACCGTCTGTTCCAAATCGAATATCCGCCTGCTGAGCCATGTTCCCCCCCCTATAAGTCGCCATTATGACAGAGAGCGGCGGACATTGCGTCCGCCGCTCTTTAGAAAGATACAGCTTTGGTTTACTTGCATCGCGAACAGCCCGCGACGGCGGCGTGTCGCCTAGCGCGCTGCGGCTTGCCGCAGATCTTCGGCCTTGTCCGTGACTTCCCAGCTCAGGCCAAGCTTGTCGGCCGTTGGGCGGCCGAAGTGGCCGTAGGCGGCGGTTGGCTGGTAGATAGGACGGCGCAGGTTCAGGTCCTCGATGATGGCGCCGGGGCGCAGGTCGAAGTGTTCGCCGACCAGGGCCTCAATGCGGTCATTGGCGATGTGGCCGGTGTCGAAGGTCTCCACCGACACCGAGATGGGCTCAGCCACGCCGATGGCGTATGAGACGATGACCTCGACTCTCTGGGCCAGACCCGCGGCCACCAGGTTCTTGGCGACGTAGCGGGCGGCATAGGCACCGGAGCGGTCAACCTTGGTCGGATCCTTGCCGGAGAAGGCGCCGCCGCCGTGGCGAGCGATGCCACCGTAGGTGTCGACCAAAATCTTCCGTCCGGTTAGACCGGTGTCACCCTGGGGGCCACCGACTGCGAACCAGCCGCTGGGATTGACGAAGTACCGCGTGTTGTCGTCCAGCAGCTCGGATGGGACTATGGGACGGATGACGTGCTCCAGGATGTCGCTGCGTATCTTCTTGGTGAAGGACTCGCGATCGTCGCTGTCCATGTGTTGAGAACTTATAACAACAGCATCAACACGCTTCGGTTTGCCGTTGCTGTACTCGACGGTGACCTGGGACTTGCCATCGGGTCCGAGGTAATCCAGCAGTCCATCCTTGCGGACAGCGGACAGACGCTCCACCAAGCGATGGGACAGGTCCACAGTGATGGGCATCAGGCCGTCGGTCTCGTCGCAGGCGAAGCCGACCATCATGCCCTGGTCACCGGCACCGGTGGATCGCCGGGCATCCGAGGCCCCGCTGCCGCGCTCCTCGAGGGCCGTAGAGACGCCGCTGCTGATATCGGGGGATTGCTGGCTGACGTGAGCGATTACTCCGCAGGAATTGCCGTCGATGCCATAGCTCACGTGGGTGTAACCGATCTGTCGCATCACGCCGCGGGCGATCTCGTCGAAGTTCAGTGCAGATTTGGTGGTGATTTCCCCGGTTACCATGATCAGGTTCTTGGTGGCCACGGTCTCGCAAGCCACGCGGCTCATGGGATCGCCGCGCAGGGCCGCATCCAATACCGCGTCCGAGATCTGGTCACAGAGCTTGTCGGGGTGTCCCTCGGTGACCGACTCGGATGTGAGCAGGTACTTGGGAGATGTCATGAATTGAATGGGCATTGGAATTGTCCTCCGGTCGTTTGCTCCGGCCCTTGCCGGTCTGAAAATTCGGATAGGGCCAGGGCTACGTGCCCTCTTCCCAGCTTTCCTGGTACCGCTGCTGTTCGGCGCTCAAGCTGTCGATGCCCACACCGAGGGATTCCAGCTTCAGTCGTCCAACCTCGCGGTCAGTCTCGATGGGCACACCGTGCACGCCTGCGGCCAGTTTGCCCTGGTTCTTAACGATGAACTCGGCTGACAGGGCCTGGTTGGCAAAGCTCATGTCCATCACGGCTGAGGGGTGGCCCTCTGCGGCAGCGAGGTTGATCAGACGTCCCTCGCCCAGCAGGTACAGCTTGCGGCCATCCTTCATCGAATATTCCTCTACGAACGGCCGGACCTCGCGATGAGCGGTGGCCATTTCCTCGAGGGCAGGGATGTCGATCTCCACGTTGAAGTGCCCGCTGTTGGCCAGGATTGCCCCACTGGGCATAGCTTCAATGTGCTCGCGGCCGATGGCATGGAATCCGCCAGTGACGGTGATGAACACCTCGCCCACTTTGGCGGCGTCAATACCCTTCATCACGGTGAAGCCATCCATCACCGCCTCGAGGGCGCGGATTGGGTTGGTCTCAGTAACGATGACGTGGCTGCCCATGCCCCTTGCGCGGGAAGCGACGCCACGGCCACACCAGCCGTAGCCCGCCACCACCACGCGGCGGCCGGCCCACAGGATGTTGGTGGCACGGGTGATGCCGTCGAGGGTGCTCTGGCCGGTCCCGTAGCGATTGTCGAAGAAATGCTTGGTCTCGGCGTCGTTAACCGCAATGACCGGGTATAGGAGCTTGTCGTCATTTGCCATTGCGGTGAGCCGGACGACCCCGGTAGTGGTCTCCTCGGTGCCACCAATCACATTGGACACCAATTCAGAGCGCTGGGTGTGGAGAATGGTGACCAGATCCGCGCCATCGTCCATCGTCATGTTTGGCGCGGAGTCCAATGCGGCCGTTAGATGGCTGTAATAGGTCTGGTCGTCCTCACCCTTGATGGCAAAGGTGGGGATACCGTACTCGCTGACGAGTGCGGCCGCCACTTCGTCTTGGGTGCTGAGCGGGTTGCTGGCGCAGAGTGTCACCTCCGCACCACCGTCCCGCAGGGCTATGGCCAAGTTCGCGGTCTCGGAGGTCACGTGGAGGCATGCTGCAAGGCGCATACCAGCCAACGGCTTCTCGCGGGCAAATCTCTCTCGAATCAGGTTGACCACCGGCATCTCACGGCCGGCCCACTCGATTTTGTTTACGCCTTCCCGTGCCAGGGAAAGGTCTTTGACGTCTCCTCTTGCTTGCTGTGTAGCCAAAAGATTCTCCTTGAGCTGTATTCCGAGGACCTGACAGCTTAATAGCTGCGATTCCTCATTTGCTGCTAAATGATCTAGTTTTACGGGTCGTTGCCGTAGGAGGTGGGATTGCCGGCCGCGATCCAGGACGGTGTGCCGTCTTCCACATTGATCAGGTTGTCAGTGTTGTAGCCAAAGGACGACGCCAGCTCGCAGGCCAGTCCGCTACGGACACCGGCGGCGCAGATGAATAGCAGCGTTTTGTCCTGAGGCACTTCGCCAATCCGGTCCGCGAAATCGTCTATGGGGATGTGAATGGCGCCGGATGCGTGGCCCGTCACCCATTCGTCGTCCCTGCGCACATCGACCACAACGGTGTTATCCGGGTCGCTGTCCAAGATCTGCTTGGCTTCAACGGAATCAACGCGGAAATACGGTTCGCCGGGGTCTTGCCTGGGCATAATCCAACCTCCTGATTGATTGGTCCTGATTTTGAGCCGGCCCATTCAGCCGACGTATTTGCCAATTATCGGAGCCAGCTTGTCTTTAAGGTCGCCGGGAATTCTTTCCGGGGCAGTGATTATTGCGTCTCTTAGGGATGAACCACAGGAGCAGTCACGCTTTGCCGGACACGGTAGGCATAAGCCTGGTCAGCATTTCCTTCGAGGTCGCAACGTTCTTCAGCAGGTTCTGGATCACTGCCTCGACCGACACTTCCTCGGTGTTGGCGCGCCACACGTCGTAGTCCGTGATCCAAGCCAGGTGGCGTAGCACATCTCTGCCTCCCGGGCCAGCTTGGCCTCAGGAAGGGCCGTCATACCGATTATGTCTGCCCCCCAAGAGCGGTACATAAACGACTCGGCCCTTGTTGAGAAAGCGGGGCCTTCCATCACCACCATTGTGCCCCCTGAGTGGACATTCACGTCCATGGCCTGCGCGGCACGATGAATCGCCTGGCTGGTGGGGGCGCAGAACGGGTCAGCGATACTCACGTGCACCACAATGTGCTCGTCGAAGAATGTGTTCTCCCGCAAACGTGTCCGGTCGATGAGCTGGCTCGGGATGACGAGGTCCAGGGGCGCAAATTCTTCCTTTAGGCTTCCCACGGCACTGACGGAGATCACGCGCTCAACTCCGAGGGTCTTCAAAGCGTAAATGTTTGCCCTAACCGGAATGTGAGTAGGGTTAAACCGGTGGCCGCGTCCGTGGCGAGGGAGGAAAGCCACCCGGACCCCTGAGAGGTCTCCCAGGACAATGGAGTTGCTGGGTTTCCCGAAGGGCGTATCCACATCCACGTGTTCGACGTTTTCCAGTCCGTCAATTTCGTAAAGGCCGCTGCCCCCTATAACTGCTATTTCTGCTTGAGCCTTGTTCACAATTCTGTCTCATCCAGATTTTCAGTTGCCGCCATTAACGGCCAAAATGAGGCTTTCGGTGTATGGAGGCGACGCAATGCCCCGCTCCGTAACGATGGCGTCGATGTAATGATGCGGTGTCACATCGAAAGCCGGATTGACCGCTGACACTCCCTCGGGCGCTGTCGCCACTCCACCGTAACGCGTAACCTCTTCCGGGGGGCGCTGCTCGATCTCGATACCGTCCCCGTTGGGCAATGCGAGGTCTATGGTGCTAGTGGGAGCGGCGATATAGAACGGGATGCCATTCTCGCGAGCCAGGACCGCCAGCATGTAAGTGCCAATCTTGTTAGCGGTGTCACCGTTGGCAGCGATCCGGTCTGCACCGGTGATGACGCAGCCAATCCGGCCCTGTCGCATAAGCATGCCCGCAGCCGAGTCGGCGAGAAGCGTCGCTGGGATGCCAAGTTTCTGGAACTCCCACGAAGTGAGTCGCGCTCCCTGCAGCCAAGGCCGCGTTTCGGTATTGAATACCTCAAACCGCTTGCCCGACTCCCACCCGGCGCGAATCACACCCAGCGCGGTGCCGAAGGCCGAAGTGGCCAAGGCACCGGTGTTGCAGTGCGTCAACACTGACCCACCGTCGGGCATCAGCTCCTTACCGTAGTCGCCAAGGAGACGGTTGATCGCCTCGTCCTCACGGTGAATTTCCTCTGCCTCTGCAACCAGCCGGTCGGGAATCTCTTTGGCTGAGTCAACTGACTCAGCGACATTCATCATTCTGTCTACAGCCCAGCCTAGGTTCACTGCCGTCGGGCGTGCGGCCCGGATGTGAACGCAATCCTGTTCCAGGGCAGACAGAAATTCGGCGCGGTCGCTGGCCCGGATGTCACGGGCGGCCATGGCGACTGCGTATGCGGCAGTTACGCCGATGGCAGGTGCCCCACGCACTCGCATTTCGCGAATCGCGGCTACCGCCTGTTCGTACCGCTCCACCACAAAGGTGGTTTCGTCCACGGGAAGCCGAGTCTGATCCAACAGCAGCAACTTGCCTTCCTGCCAACGTATGGGCCGGATCTCGCTCAAATAACCTGCTCCTGTAGCGAATAGCGGGTAAATTTTTTCAGAAAGGGACACAATTGTTGCACCTGTATCTCAAACACCTTTCACGTCGGGCAACAAAAAAGCTTCTCGCGCGAGAAGCCCAATCCGTCCCCTGTTCCCCCCGTTCCCGGCTGTACATCCGGCGCTTGGGACTGTGACATGCTACTAACAGCATCGTTATGTGTCAAGGAAAGGTATTCGGCGAAGGCAATTGGGGGAGCACGTGGGGGAGCACGCAAAACCACTTGGTTGACACTGAATTGGCGTCGCTACAATAATATTAGATGCCATTGATGGGGTATGCCGGTAGTGTTTCATCTCGGAACACGGGGAAATGGCAGGGATCGGGTGCGATAGTTTCATGAGCAAACCGAATCTGGCATTTGAAGATGGTCAACTGGGGTTGTTCACAGACCTCTACGAGTTGACAATGGCTCAAGCCTACTTTGCTCAGGAAATGTTCCAGCCCGCGACTTTCAGCCTTACGGTCCGCAGCTACCCCCCCAACCGTGGTTATCTCGTTTCCGCTGGCCTTGATGATGTCCTGGATTACTTGTCCCACCTCCAGTTCGACAGCGATGCCATTCAATTTCTCAGTTCCACAGGTATGTTCAAAGACGACTTCCTTGAGTACCTCGGAGGAGTCCGGTTTACCGGCTCCCTTCGAGCCATTCCGGAGGGAAGGCTCTTCTTCGCGGACGAACCGCTCTTGGAAATCACCGCACCGATCATTGAAGCGCAGCTGGTCGAGACATACGTCATAAACCAGATGAACTTGCAAACCGCACTGGCCACAAAGGCCTCGCGGTGCGTCTGGGCAGCCCAAGGCAGGGGTATCGCGGACTTTGCCTCTCGCCGAACTCACGGGTCTGATGCGGCAATGAAAATGGCCCGCGCCAGCTACATGGCCGGCTTTGGTTCAACGAGTAACGTGCTGGCAGCCAGCCACTACGGGATCCCGCCGGCCGGAACGATGGCCCACTCTTTCATTTCAAGTTTCCCCTCTGAGCTGGACGCATTTCGCGCCTACTCCCAGAGTTTTCCCGACCGCACCATCCTCCTGCTGGACACCTACGACACCCTCGCCGGGGCTTGGAACGCGGTGGAGATCGCAAAGGAGCTGGAGGTGGCCGGGCATAGGCTGGCCGGTGTTCGGCTGGACTCGGGAGACTACACAAAGCTGAGCCTCCAGGTCAGGCACGTGCTGGATGACCACGACCTCGGCTACGTCAGGATACTTGCCAGCGGCGGGCTGGACGAATATGAACTTGAGACCCTTGTCGAAGCCGGTGCTCCCATTGACCTCTTTGGAGTGGGCACCAAGGCGGGAGTTTCGGCCGACGCTCCATGGTCGGACATGGTCTACAAGGTGGCATGGTTCGACGATCGTCCGGTGATGAAATTGAGTGAGGGCAAGATGTCCCTCCCCGGCGCCAAGCAGATATTCCGCCGGACGAACGGCGAGGGCACCCTTGCAGGGGACATCATTGGCCTCCAGGAGGAGACAGGGCCGGTGGACTCCAAGCCGCTGCTCGAAGAATTCATGACCCGGGGAGAGCGCAACATACCCACGCCGCCCCTGGTAGAGCTACGGGATCGTTTCCGTGATGAATTCGCCAACCTGGAGACACGCTTCAAGGACCTGCGCCGGCCGCCACAGTTTTCCCGTCTCGGTCAGCCCTAAGCTGCAAAGGATGACCGCTGAGGTGCGGGAGGAGGCGGTGCTGACAAATGTGTCGGGAGAGGCTCTCTGACTGGGATGCCGGTTACCCCACTATCCCACTGCCCGACCCCCTTCCCAGACGCTGCTGTCCATTAGTCCCACTCCAATCCGTAAACTGGATCGGTAATCGCCCATGAAAACTGCCGTCTGCATGAAATACGTGCCGGTGATTGCGCGTATGCAATTCGACTACGAGGCCAGGACCATCGTAAGAGACGGGGTACCCTCCGAGGTCAATGCCTTTGACCAACTGGGCTTGGTCAGGGCGGTGGAGTTGAAGAACGATGCAAACGACGAGGTGGTTGTACTGACCATGGGTCCTCCAACGGCAGCCGAAGGCCTGACCACCTGCCTGGCACTGGGAGCCGACCGCGGCGTTCTGATCACCGACCGGGCGCTGGCCGGGCAGCGACACGCTTGCAACCTCGAGGGCGCTGGCGCTGGCATTGGCCCGCGAGGGGCCGGATCTGGTCATCTGCGGCCGCAACAGCACCGATGGGGAGACGGGGCAGGTGGGGCCGGAAGTGGCTGAGCTCATGGGCCTGCCGCACGTCAGTCACGTGAGGCGGCTTGACCTCAGCGAGGACCGTCGAAAAGCCGTGGTGGAAAGGATAACTGACGAGGGCTTTCAGATCTTGGAATGCGACCTTCCGGCGGTCATATGCGTAACCGAAGGGGTTGCCCCGGAATTGTTTCCCAACCGCGAACAGATGGAACAGGCCGCGACAAAACCGGTGGATGAAGTCAACTGTTCGATGCTGTCCGACGACAGCTCTCAGTTCGGCGCTTCAGGGTCGCCCACCTGGGTCAACGAGATCCGTCTGGTTGAGCCGAACCGGCTGGGCGTAACTCTGCAGGAAGTAACGCCGGAAGACGCGGCCCATCAAATCGCGCAGTCGGTGAAGGAACGGCTGGCCGAGTTGGATTCAACCGAACCTGAAACGTCCGGCGAACCGCTTCTCGCTATCCTGGTGCCACCGACCGGAGCATCTGGGTAGTGGCCGAGAACAGCCAGGACGGTCTGGCACACGTCACTTATGAACTGCTAGGTAAGGCCAGAGAACTGACCACCATTACCCGCAGCGAAGTTGTTGCGGTGGTGATTGCTCAAGGCGGCGAGACGCACGCTCCTTCGCTGGCCGCCGCCGGGGCCGATAGAGTTCTGATCATAGACAATTCCTCTCTCGGGCCGGTTTGCGGCCGGGCGGTAGGCAACGTCCTGGCAGGGGCCGTGGAACGCGAGACACCTTACGCCATCCTGTTTGCCTCCACCGCCGACGGCCGGGACCTCGCTTCCCGATTGGCCGCTCGCTTGAGCCTGGGCCTGACCGGAGACGCCATAGACCTGGAAATCGACGACGAGGGGCAGCTGGTACAGCTAAAGCCAGCCCTCGGCGGTAACGTCGTCGCTCCCATCCTGTCCAAGACCCTGCCCAACCTCGTCACGTTGCGCCCCGGCCTCCTCACCCCCGCTGTGGGGGAGCCTGGCGCCACCGCCCCCATTGAAGAACTGACTGTAGAGCCCTTCACGGGCTCCGATGTTCGCCTCATCAGGGAGGAATTTCAGGAAGACACAGAAAGGGCGCGATCTCGCCCGCGCACGGGTCGTGGTCGGTCTGGGCATGGGGGTTGGCGAAGACGAAGTTGCCGGTTTAGTTGAGGTGGCTCGCTCGCTGGGCGCTTCTGTCGCCACTACGCGCGACGTCGTGCACGCCGGATGGCTGCCCCAGCAGTTGCAGGTGGGGATCAGCGGACGCAGCATCGCTCCGACGGTTTACATCGCCGTTGGAATTCGAGGAGCGTTCAACCACACTGTGGGCCTGCAGCGGGCCGGCATCATTGTGGCGATCAACCAGAACCGCCGCGCCACCATCTTCCGGTCTGCCGACTTCGGAGTCATCGGCACTTGGCAGGAATTCTTGCCGCCACTGATCAATGAGCTACGCCCCGTGCTGGCATCACTCACCTCAGGCTGAGGAGTGTCGGGCAGAGGGGTTGTTGGACAGTTTATGTCGACTACGGAACTGCTCGCAGAGCACATAGCAGCAACGGACTTAGACGCAATGCCGCGCGAGGCCGTAGAGGCCGCCAAGGTGGTCATCCTGGATGGCCTCGCGGTGACGCTAGCTGGCTCCCGCGAAACGGCAGCGCAGATCGTCGCAGATTATGCCCGGGAGATGGGCGGCAATCCGGTGTGTTCCGCAATCGGCCACGGGTTCAAAACTTCTCCGCCCATGGCCGCCTTCGTGAACGGAGTGGCGTGCCACGTTCTAGATTACGAGGTAATGTGGCACCCGGCAACGCACGCAACCTCGCCTACACTCCCCGGCATACTCGCATTGGCAGAAAGCCGCAAGGCGACGGGAAGAGAAATAGTTGCCGCCCTCGTGACGGGGTTCGAGGTGCAGGGTAGGATCCGTGTCGCTTCCGCGAATATGGGGCTGGGGGGCTTCCACCCGCCGGGCCTGGTCGGCGTCATGGGCAGTGCCGCGGCAGGGTCGGTCATGCTCGGGCTCGACACGCAGCAGACGCGGATGGCGCTGGGCTTGCCGCATCAAGAGCCGGGACGGTGTCGGCCAAACACCGGGACGATGACCAAGTCCACCCACTGTGGCAACGCGGGCCGGATGGGGCTGGAAGCGGCGCTTCTCGCGCAAAAGGGATTCACGGCCAACGCCAATGTGATTGAGCATGAAAACGGCTACGCCGCAGTGCTGTTCGGAGACGAGTTTGACCTTGATGCCGTTACCCGGGATTTTGGCCACCCTTACCGGCTGGTCGATCCCGGGGTTGCTATCAAGAAACATCCCAGCCAGTACGGTACTCACCGGGGCATTGATGCTGCCCTCGATATGCAGGACCGATTCGGCGTCGATACCAACCGTATCTCTTCGGTGCGCATAGAAACTCCAGTGATGCGCTATGTGGGCAGGCCTTTCCCGGAAACCGGCCTGGATGGGAAATTCAGCTTCCAGTACACCGTGGCAGCCGCACTGCTGGACCGCCGCGTCGGCATCGAGACCTTCACAGATGAGGCCGTAAACCGCCCTGAGGTGCTGGAACTCCTTGGCAAGATCTCCGTTGACATGAGGCCCGAAATTCCGGCCAACTTCGAAGACATGTGGGTCGCTGTGCGGGTGGAGACCAGCGATGGACAGACGTTTGTCAGCCGCTGCGACCGCCCGCGGGGAATCTGGGGTAACCCGTTAACCCGAGATGAAAGGCTGGCAAAGGTTAGGTCGTGCGCCAGTCGCCTGCTGTCAGGTGCGGCAACCGAGCGATACATAGATATCGTAGAAGATCTGGAAAACCCCGACAGCGATACGGTCCAGGAACTGGTAGGGATCCTTGGCAGCGGTCCTTCTCGTTGAATCTGGGTCCTCCAACCTCCCGCGGCAGCAGGTTCGCCGTGATCCGAATATTTTCCTCCACCTCCTAAGTCAAAACGCTATCCCATTGACGGTAACTCCTCGACGGCTCCTTTGCCCTCGGATTACCCTTATTGATGTGCACTCGCACATACGAGCCAAGCACTCGGGCCCAACCACCTGGCATTCCCTGGGCCATCTACCCAGTCGGTGCGCGTCACCGGATCAAACCCAAGAGCTACCCGCCGCCCAACCGCCATCCCCTCAAAAACGGGACTCGGTGCGCACCCATCGTGCGTCGGATACGATGGCAAAAACATCGGCGCTCTCGGCGTGCGCAGCGTTTAGCGCCATTCGTTGCCACGAAGGGGAGACTGATCCAGACCTGATCGGGGTAATGCTTCTCCAGCGAAATCCGGGGCCAATTACCGGAATTTACCGGAAAATCGAAATTTTCCAGCCCACGAGCCTACACCCAGCCGTCGCTCCCGGGCAGGCGAGTTCCAGGCCCCATCGCCCGGCCAAATCCTGTGCGCAGTACCGTAAACTATCGAAAATTACAGTGATATTGAAAATTTTCGGACCCACGGTTGCTTGAGAATGGTTCATCAATGACCTTCGCTCAGGTCAGGAATGGGTCGACGCCTTGTTGCCCAATTCCGTTACATTACTCGAGGTCTGCAACGCTCAGCCTCAAGTCCTCAAGTCCTCAAGTCCTCAAGTTCTGCGACGAGATGGCCGAAGCCTCATGCTCGCTCTCACACCGAAGTCACCCTCCAGCCTAAAAAGGTCTGAAAGCCGGAAATGGGATGGATCGCCCAGGATCTGGCAGACGCCTCCGGGGCCGCTCGGGCAAGGTCTCGCCCGCCATTAATCGGGGACCCTTACTTGACACTGCCTATACGGCACAAGAAAATGGCTAGTGCTATCATTGGAGCATTGCGCAACAATGCGCGTACCATGGGACATAACCTCAGAGAACCTCCCAATCCTATTGGCGCGAGGCGAAAATGGACTTTGCATATACTCCGGATCAGGAAGCACTCCGCCAGGAAGTGCAGGTATTCATCGCGGAGCACGTTACCGCAGACGTCCTCGGTGAACTGGAAACCGCTGAGGAAGGGGGACGCGGTGAGCATTACCGTGAACTGGTTCGCAAAGTCGCCGAGCGCAAGTGGATTGGAATCAGCTGGCCCAAAGAATATGGTGGCCAGGGCGGAAGCCGCATAGAGCAGTACATCGTCGAGGAGGAGTTCGCTCGTGCCGGTGTTGCTGTAGGTGGAGCGGGTAGCGGCGCGCCGGCCATTTTGGCAGCTGGCACCGAGGAGCAGAAGCAACACTTCATCCCGGGCTTGATCAACGGTGAAATCATTTTCGCGCTTGGCTTTACGGAGCCTCAGGCTGGAGCCGATCTGGCGGGCCTGCAGTGCCGTGCAGTGCGCGACGGAGATGAATATGTTATCAACGGGCAGAAGATGTACACGTCCGCGGCTCATTACGCCACGCACGTCTATCTGATGGCCCGGACCGCCCGATGCGCCGCGACACCGGGGCATCTCCATCTTCCTGGTACCAATGGATGCCCCCGGCATCACGGTGAGGCCTCTCTGGACGATTCAGAACGACCCACCCGCTCCTTTGGGCACCACGTATGGAATGGCACGGACTAACGAGACCTTCTTCGAAGACGTAAGGGTGCCGGCTTCCTGCCTGTTGGGTGAGGAAAACACGGGTTGGTACGTTGGCGCCATGGGTCTCAACCTCGACCGCGTCGGCGCCAGCCGTTACCTGATCTCTGTACGCCGCGACGAGGATATCGTGAACTGGGTCAAGGAGAACGACTTCGCCGGGCACTCTCCGGCCGATGACCCCGCCGTTCGGGACAAGTTGGCCGAACTTTGGACCGAGGCGCAGGTATGCCGCCTGATGACCATGCGCAGCATGTCCCTCGTGGAACGGGGCGGCAACTTTACCTACGAAGGGTCTGCGGAAAAGGTCTTCGCTCCCGAACACGGCGTCAAGACCACCGAGACCATCACCCCAGATCCTGGGGCCCTACGCTCAGCTTCTGAGCACCTCCGAGGAGGCCATTGAGGAAGGTGTATTCGCTCACAACGTCATGGGCGCCTTCCAGTCGGGCATAAACCACGGCAGCGTGCAGGTGATGCGCGACCAGATGGCCCGCCGGGGGCTGGGAATGCCTCGAGGGTAAGAAGCCCCTATCCGTAACAACACTTCCACAGGAAAGAAAATGGACATACTCCCCTCAGAAGAAGAACAATTGCTGAAGAACGCGGCGCGGGACTTCCTCGAAGCTGAGGTTTCCACGAGCCTCGTCCGCGAAATGGAACTGGACGAAAATGGCTATCCGCCCGCTCTTTGGCGGCAAATGGCAGACCTTGGCTGGCTGGGCTTGGCCATGCCTGAAGAATTCGGAGGACAGGGCCTTCCACTGACTTACCTTGGTCTCGTAATGGAGGAAATGGGCCGCGTCCTCGCTCCCGTTCCTTTCCACAGCACTATGACCGCCGCGCTGACAATCGCGGAGGCCGGTACCGAGGATCAGAAGCGAGACCTGCTGCCCGGCATATGCAGCGGCGACACGGTGATGACCTGGGCCGTGACTGAGCGCGACCCCCGGCTGATTCCGCCGGCGATCGCTGACTTGGCACAGCCTGATGGCGACGGTTGGATGCTCAACGGCGTCAAGATGTTTGTGGATAACTTCAGCGTGGCAAGGCGCTGTCTGGTTGCAGTTCGCACCGCCCAGGCATCGGACTCCAATGAGGGAATATCGCTGTTCCTGATCGATCCGAACGGCTCCGGTGTATCGCAGACTCCGTTGGTTACCATTGCCAAAGACAAGCAATTCAGGGTCGCTCTTAACGGCGTCAGAGTGGGAACCGCTGACTTGGTCGGTGAACTTCACAACGGCTGGCCTATAGCCGAGCGTATGCTGGAACGGGCCACAGCCCTGCTCTGCTGCCAGATGATCGGCGCAACCCGAAAGGACGCAGAACTGGCTATTGATTATTCAAAGAACCGAGTGGCCTTCGGTCGTCCCATTGCGTCTTTCCAGTCCATTCAGCACATGTGCGCAGACATGCTCCTCTACACCGACGGTGCGCAGCTCCTCACCTATGAAGCGCTGTGGAAGATGGACCAGGGCCTGCCTGCGGGGGTGGAGGTTTCGCAGGCCAAAGCCTTTGCCAACGAAAAATGTGAAGCCGTGGTGAGACAGTCTCAGGTCATTCACGGCGGTATCGGCTTCATGATGGAGTTTGACCTCCACCTGTGGCTGCGACGAGTGTCGGCGTGGACCATGCGGCTGGGAACCACGTTCGACCATCGGGCCAAGATTGCCAGCGCACTGTTGGACAAACCGGGCAAAGTGCGACTCGGCTTACCATTGCCCGCCTGAAGAAACCCAGCGCAACTGGAGTGAAAGATATGGCAAAAGACCCCGTTTGCGGGAAGGAAATAGACGAGGAACAGGCCCGGGCGCAAACCTCGCAACCCGCCACGGTGCCACGGAAGTTGACCCCGCACAGGGGACACGCATTTTCCATGACGGCAGCTGGATCTACTTTTGTGGACTGGATTGCCGGACAAAGTTCCTGGCGAGTCCTGCCACCTATACCGGCAGCTAGTCTCGCCCCTCATTGGCTCCTCGTTGATCCGGAGCCAGGGGCACAGAATCTGGATAAGGAGTTCGAGATATGCCAGAGGCTATCAAACTCGACCCAAAGAGTAGCGCGTTGATCCTGATAGACATGATCAACGCTGTGGCCAAGGGGAACGGACCGCCCTACAACGTGCCCCCGAACCGCCAGGGCGTGATCGACAACTTTGTCCGGCTGGTGGCCCATTGCCGGGAGGTCGGGACCCCGATCATATACATCACTACCTACCGCAGGGCTGACAACTCGGACGCACCCAAGACTGTTGCAGACGTCGGGGGCGGGGGCGGAGCGGCAATGCTTGAAGGGACCCCGGCCGTTGAGTTATCGATGAGTTGGCCCCGCAACCAGGGGACTACATCGTCGTGAAGCCCCGGTTCAGCGCCTACTACGGAACCAACATGGAGAGCATCCTCAAATCGCTGGGGACGGAGACCATCCTGGTTGGCGGTATCTCCACGCAACGCAGCGTGGAGGGCACCGCTCGGGACGCCAAGAATCGCGACACGCAGTGCGTGGTGGTAAGCGACTGTTGCACCGCCGGCGAGGAAGACGTCCACCAAATGACCGTCGACCATGTTCTGCCGTTGCTGGTGCGGGTGCGAAATACCGACGAGGTGACCGCCGCGCTGTCCTGAATTGAGCTGTCCTCGCTCTACCTTCTTTGGGCAAGGGCACGGCCTACCCCTCCCACAAGTGACCACACAGATGGAGGTGACGTCATGACCGACGTGAAGACGATCCTGGTAGGCACCATCGGACAGGGAATCATGCGCAGCGCCGACGGAGGCGAATCCTGGCGACGAATCGGCATAGACGCCGGCATGCACTCGGACGCGCTCGTCCGTACGTTGGGCAACCACCCGGACAGGCCCGGAGTGGTGTTCGCCGGGACAGACAAGGGCCTGTACCGCAGCGAGGACGGGGGCTCGAAATGGGGCCTGCTGGACACTGCGATGAGCGGCACCTGCGTCTGGGCAATGGCCATCGACTCTACTGATCCCAACCTGATGTTCGCCGGGACCGGCACCCCGAACCCGGCGGGCGTGTTCCGCTCCGGTGACGGCGGCCACACTTGGGAACAGCTGCCCGTTGAAGTCGCCGAAGAATGCCCCAACGTGGGTGTGCCGAGGGTTACCGGTATCGCCATCGACCCGAACAACCACCGAGACGTCTGGGTGGGACTCGAGGTGGATGGCCTTCGGCACAGTTCTGATGCCGGAGACACCTGGGAGTCGATCAACGGCGCTATCCCCAACCCTGACGTTCACAACGTTGCCGTGGCGGCCGGGCCGCCCCATACCGTCGTGGTCGTGGTCAACAACGACGTCTACACCAGCGGAGACAACGGCGGCAACTGGGACCGTCTTGGCATCCGCGAGGTCTTCCCGCTCACCTACCCGCGGGGAATCATGGTCAAACCGGACGACCCAACGTCATCTTTGTGACCATCGGCGACACCACACCGGGCCAGACAGGCACGATCATGCGCTCCAAGGACACCGGCAAGACGTGGGAGAACCTGCCACTGCCGGTGGAGCCCAACACAGCGATGTGGACGGTCAACATCCAGTCCACGGACCCGTCGGTGGTGCTCGCAGGGAGCCGATACGGCTACCTGTACCGCAGCGACGACGGCGGCGACTCCTGGAGCAAGCTGCGCCGTGAGTTCAGCGAGATCTCCAGCGTAATGTGGCTGCCGGAGTAGCGGCTCTCTCGAAACCATATAAGTTCTCAGGCGACACCAACTCCGATCTGCAGGGGCGTTTGTATGGAACGCCCCTTTTTTATTGCAAGCTGCCTTAATCGATGTTCGTTGAGTCTCTGATTTCACAGGAAGTTTGTTCCTGCTGCGATGGATTCGATTCTCTTGGAGAGTCTTCGGGTTGGTGCTGCTGGCGATCGCGGACCTTTTTGGGGTTGGGCGTGGTGTGAATGTTCTCTGGTTTGTGGTGGGTTCAATGTCAGCGGCGTGGTTCATCGGTAGTGTCGGGCTAGTTCGGAGGCGTAGTGTTGGCCTAGGGTTTGGCGGTGTTCGTAGAGCCAGTCGGTGAGGCGGGTGGCGCCGGTGGGCGGGTCAGTTGAGACAAGGTGGCCGGCCATCAGGCCTGCGATTTCGTCGCGGGAGAGGACTACGTCGCGGAGGGCGGCGCTCATCATACGGCCCGCAGCGTAGACTAGGGAGGGCGGCAGATGGAGCACGCGAGCGCGGCCTCCGGCGGTCTGCCGGATGAGGCGCACCAGTTCGTCGAAAGTGAAGGTCTCGGGGCCGACGGCATCCAGAGTTACGTTGCCGTCGGTGGAGGCGGACTCCACGGCTATTTGAGCTACGTCATCAACGAATACAGGCTGCAGACGGTAGTCGCCGCGCCCGGCGACAGGGAATACGGGGAAGCGGCGCAGGAACCACGCGATGTTGTTGATGAGGATGTCCTCGCGGCCGAATATGACGGTGGGGCGGATGATGGAGTGGGCCAGGCCAGACTGGCGTATGTGGTCCTCGACGAGGGCCTTGCCGCGGAAGTAGGGCAGGGGTGATTCGGGCGATGGGTTGGTGATGCTGACGTGGACTATGCGACGGATGCCTGCGGATACCGCCGCATCGACGAGGCTGAGGGTGTTGCGGACTGCGGCGTCGTGGTTGACGTCGCCTCGCGCGATTCGGACCCAGTAGGTGTTGAAAAGGGTGTTGGCGCCTTTCAGGCTCTCGGCGAGCTGATCGGGGTTGTCGAAGGCGAGCGGCCTACGCTCCACCTGGTCGCCGAAGGGGCTGGCCGACGCGGGGTTGCGGGTCAGGGTGCGTACGCGCTGGCCGGATTCCAGGAGCCGCTGGGCGATGTAGCGGCCGGTGTAGCCGAAGGCGCCGGTTACCACGCTGATACCGCTCATCATTGACCGGGTGAAGGCTCTGGCGTAGCGGGCACGGCGGCCTCGCTGGCAGTTCTGCCGTGGCGCTCGACTTCCTCGATTTGCCTTTCAGTGGCCGGGCCCACATCGACAGTCATGATGCAGTTTGTCCAGTCGGTGGACGTGGGTTCAGAGAAGGCCAAGTACGCCTGCACGGCGGGACTGGAGAAATCACATTCGCCCTCCATCCGCTCTCCCACCAGCGCTTGCTGATACGGCAAGGACTTCTCCCAGAAGGTTGGCTCGTCACGCTTCATTTGTTCCAGTTCATCCGGGCCGAGCGGCCCGATGCCCACCGCCTGGTAGCAGTCCTCAGATACCCCTGAATAGGTCACCGGGTATCCGGTTGTAACGTCTTCGAATAAACACTCTCCGTTCACTTTCTCGCCCATTCTTATCCTTGCTACCGAGACCGGGTCGGTGGGTGCTTCGCCGCCATTCGCCGGGGTGTTGCCGGTGCCACAAGCAACGGTGCATATCAGCAACGCGGCTAGCAGCCCCAATATTAGTCGCATTCATGCCTCTGCGGAGACAGCTTCGGGGTAGGGAAAGCCCCGCTCTGATGAGCGGGGCTTTTTGTGATCCTGGGAACACCGGCCGGAGTTATGGGGCGAGGCCGGCGGTGCCGGAGCTGATGGTGTCCATGCGGGGGCGGTCGTCGTAAGGCCTCAGCGGGACTTCGTGCAGGGCCGGGATGACTTCCTTGCCCAGCAGTTCGATGGAGCGCATGGTTTCCTTGTGGCCCATCGCACCCTCGTTGCCGTAGATGTGGATGTAGCCGGGGCTGAGGCGCTCGATGACCTCGGTCAGCTTCTGGGTCACGGTGTCGGGGTTGCCGACGATGATGTTGTTGACGCCGCGAAGCTGGTCGTAGGACAGACCCACGCCCAATCCGCCGGCGCCGGCCACGTTACCGGTGGGGCGCTGGGCCTTGATCTCGACCGATGCCCTGGACTGGTAGCCGGGAGGATCATTGTGCTCCATCGGCCCACGCTGGCGGTGCTCGATGGTCCACATGAACTCCTTGCCCAGTTCGATGGCCTTCTCGTCGGTATCGGCGACGAAGCAGCGGAGCAGGTAGCCGAAGTGCTCGGGGCCGGCCTTCCAGCCTTCCTCCTCGGCGGTGTCGATGTAGACCTGTTTCAGCCACTCGGTGGTGTCGACCAAGGCGCCAAGGTTCATGTAGGGATGCTTGTGCTTGGCGGCCCAGACCACGCTCTCAGGGCTGCCGGTGCCTGGGAACCAGATGTCGGGGCGGGGCTTCTGCATTGGTAACGACCCACGGGTTGACGGCGCGGTAGTGGTAGTACTGACCCTCATACCGGAAGGGGCCGGGCTCGGTCCAGCACTTGATAATCAGGTCATGGGCTTCCTCGAAGCGGGCCCGGTTCTCGGTGGGGTTCACGCCGCCCTGCAGCGTCTCCACCGCGGTTCCGCGAACGAAGCCGGAGATGATCCGCCCGCCGGAGTAGCAGTCCAGCATGGCGATTTCCTCGGCCATGCGGATGGGGTCGTTGATCGCGATAACGTTGCCGAGGATGGCGATCTTGACCTTCTTGGTGAGCTTGGCGATGACGGCGGCGTCAAGGTTCACTGCGGGCTTCATGCACCAGTAGGAAGCGTGGTGCTCGTTGGACATGATGCCATCGAATCCCACTTCGTCGGCCAGAACGTACTGCTCGTGGTAGTTGTTGTACAGGATGTGGGCCTTATGGGGGTCGAAGTGGGTGTTTGGGAACCCAAGGCGACCGGAGTCGTACTTCTCAAGGTCCGCGTCGGTGACGTGACCGTAGGGCTGCTCGGAGAACCAGTAAATCTCCGCCTTTTCTTTGGGCCGTGCTAGCTGATCAACCATTCTCCACTCCTTATGTAATCTGCGTGGCGCCGAGTGTGGGCGATTACAGCGGGGTTCCCGTTGACGATAAGTTCTCGGAACAGGCAAATCGGTGACGAAAACCTATGCGCTACTCGGGAGACGGCCCGCTATTTGCTGGCGCAATTATAGTCAACGCGAATATGTTAGGCAACCGAGATGAGTGGGGGGACAGGGCTACAGCCGAAGCCCGGAACCGCTCTCGTGGGACCCGGCATTGAGATTGGACGGATCTACCTGATCACCCTCGCCGACGCCTGGGCGATGCCCAGGGAAGACGGGATAGGTTATGGGGTCAGGAGAGGAGGGAGGGAGGTGGAGGGCCGCGGCGCGAGGGAGGGCGATTTTCAGGATGTCATCGGGATAGGGGTAGATTCTCTCGTCGCGGCAGTTGTCGACGTATTGCCTGATTCTCATCCAATTTGGAGAACGAATACCAAGTCCTCTAATGCGCTCCATTAATGGCTTGGCCCTGGATTTCCTCGGCGGGTAGGCGGCGACGGGACCGCCGGAGTCAAAAGGCGGGGGTTCGAATCCCATACCGACACAGTACTCCCAATCGTCGCAAAACTGCTCGACATAGGGCCGGAGGCGGGCCAGGTTGTAATGGACTGGCAGCCTGCGTTTCAGGGAGTCGACCTGACGTTGAAGATGGTACAGAGACATGAGGTGAACTCCTTGAGTCTTCTGTTGAGGTGGTCGTGCCAGGATGCCAAGGGACCGCACGAGGGGGCGGGAGCAGGGGCCACTGGGTCCCCGCTTTCGCGGGGATGACGGGAGATCGCGGGGATGACGGTATGGAGGCGGGGATGGCGGGACGCAGGAGGGATAACGGGATGAGGGCGGTGGAGCGCCCTCATCTTCTCCCTCCGCCAGAGGGTGGAGGAATTTGTCACCCGCCGCTTACGCGGCGTGAATCTCCTCCCAATGGGAGAGGGAATTGGGAGAGGGAATTTTCGGCCACCCTCTTCGAGTCGTGAAATCTACGAGATCGGCCTTCTGGACATCCATTCATTGACGGCGGTCTGGAGGTGGTCTATCTCCCTCCTGAGCTTCTCCGCGAAGCCGACCTCGGAGGAAAAGGCCAGAGAATAGCGGGCGGCGCGCATACGGACACTGACGTCGCTGTCGTTCATAGCATCACGGAAAACATCGACGGCACGCAGCATCAGGCCCTTGGCCTCCTGGCGGGCAAACTCGGCGGTTTCTTCGCGGACACGAGAGAGCTCCTCTCGGAAGAGATCGTCTTCCAGCCATCGGTACAGGGTGGACTTGCCGATTCCAGCGGCGCGGGCGGCCTGATGGACACTGGGGAAAGCAGCCAAATAGGGAATAGCGGACAGTTGCCGTTCGGTCAGGGGGACAACCTCCCTGGCCGCATCCTCGGGCTCGCTTTCGGAAGACCCCAAGAACTCGAGGAGCCCTCTTACAAGTTCAGGGTAGGTAGTCCCCGAGTCGTCCTCATCCCCAATGTGTTCGGAGTCGGAGGCTTGAGGACCGGAGCCTGAGGGAACAATGGGACTGGAATTTCCCATGTTTGTCCCATTTTGTCCCATCCTGTCCCATTCCTGGGGGCTGTGAACGGGATTTTGAACCTGAAATTGGCCGGAGGCAAGCTCCGAAGGGAAAAAAATTGGGATTCCCGCCCCATTTTGTCCCATTCCGTCCCATTCCGGCGTTTCGGGGGAATCGCGAGTGGGATCCGGGTCGGAGAGGACTGGGTCGAGGTCCAGAACGACAGGGCCATCCTCCTTGGATTCGGGCTGGTGGAACAGGGGTCGCCATTGGATTCGTGGTATTCGGACATGCTTATCGCGGGGCATCAGTTGCCGGGTCAGATTCGGCTCCCACCGTGGAGCCGTTATATGTTATGGTACATAAGTTCTACTGATCTGACAACTGTTGAGTGTCTCCAGATTTGCACGGCCGGACCGGGGCCAAGGGCCGTCGGGGAGTGAGGGCTCAGGCAATCGGAATTCAGGTTGTGGCAGGTGGCGGCAGAGGTTAACATTGGGCTATTCCGCCTCCCTAGACAAGCTCAGGAGCGGCGGGACGAGAATAGAAACGTCATATTAATAGGAGTGCGGAAATGGCTCTATCGTTGGCAGACGCAAACAGGATTATCGGGGCCTCGATCGCAGAGGCGGACAGGATTGGAATCAAGCTGAGCGTGGCGGTGGTGGACGGTGGCGGCCAGCTGGTGGCCTTCCAGCGGATGGAGGGGGCGATCGCGGTGAGCGCGACGGCGGCTCCCGGCAAGGCGGTGGGGTCGGTGTTCTTCGGGCGCGACAGCAGGGAGATCAACGCGGAGTCGCCGGTGATGCAGGCGATAATCGGCAGCCAGGGCGGGCGGATCATCCCGGCGCAGGGGGCGATTCCCATCTTCCAGGACGGCATAATTGTGGGGGCGATCGGCGGCAGCGGCGGGTCGGCGCAGCAGGACGAGGACTGCGTGCGGAAGGGTCTGGAGTCGCTGTAGGGCGGGGCCTGTTTAACCAGAATCACGTTTACGCGAGAGCGCCCTGCTGGATTTGGTCTGGCGGGGCGTTTTTTGACGCGGATGTGCATCTTATGACATTTTCGGCTGGCTAGTAGTTTGCGGAAGGACATATACTCTATGATGTATCGTCTAATGGTTTGGTGGTGAAGGAGATTGGAGAGGGGTGTCTCGATGCACTGTTTTGTCCCCGTGAACGATCCTCAGGCACTGTGGAACCTTCAGGTTGAACTTCTGGAGCTAGCACAGAGGTTGCTTGGCCCTCGAGATAGTTGCGTTGAAGTTGGCAGGCCGACATTTCACGCGGGTGTACCTTATACTCGACTTACGATACGTCCCCCTGGGGCAAATGCTGTATTGAGCCCCAATGCCGCCGGATTTCTGCCAACGGCGGTCTATGAATTGGCACACGAGACGGTTCACTTGCTTGACCCCGTGGCGCGAGAGCTTTCCAGCTTTCTCGAACAGGGAGTCGCCGTTGAATTCTCTTTATCGGCACTTGAACACTATGGGTTTCGGCTAGACGTTCCGGGTCCTGGACGGTATCAATATGCATTGAACCGAGTCAGGTCGCTTTCGCGGGCTCCTTTGAGTGACGCAAAAGACCATTCGAGGCAAAATTGGCGTACTCAGTAAGGCCACGGTACCAGACTTGGCTACAATATTTCCCGAGCTTCCTACTGAACACTTGAGTGCCTTGTGCGAGAAGTTCCCCTCCAGTTGAATCGATACCAATCGACAGTACACAATTGGGACGGCCGCCCCGACTCGAACTGATTTCAAGACTAAATCTATTGCAATGCCTTGGTTGACTCAATTCTTAGAGTGGTAAGGTTATTTTGTCTCTGAATGTGGACAAGGTCGAAGATGAAGCAAAAAGAAGGCGCCAAGTTCGCAACTACGAGTACCGATTCGACTGGCCGGAATTAGCGTCAGTCGACCCTAGCCTTGCCTCATCCATAATCCAACTCCTGGAAACGGCTGTCCCTTTAATGTCGATAGCCGCGCGCAAGAGCGACGAGCAAACGGAATACACGGAGATCAAGCTGATCCGCGACTTTCTATTTCGTGCAATAAAGGCATTGCGGAGCACTCTTTGTCTTGAGGCCATAGGTAACCGAGAAGACGCTTGGTCTACGGCCAGAGTCGTAGTAGAGAGGTCTATTTATTTGGCGTACCTGTTGAAGACGGGCGAGACCAAGGAGTTCTTCGAGTACAGTGCACTCGAAATGAAAAAGTGGGCGTACCAAGCGGTAAATTTGAATCGTTTGACAGAGGGGTCGGTTTGCGCGTACGACAACGAGATGGAAGAGGCCCTGGGGCACAGGCTAGGGAGGCCAAAACCAGAATGGAGCAATCCAACCATTGAACGGATGTGCAATGAATCCTTCGGCGTAGAGCCGGGACGTCACATCTATAGTTTATATCGAATGGCTTCAGCGCGCGTGCATCCGGGTATGCCTGGCGGCGACGAGTATTTCGAAGAGGCAATGATGGCGCAAGGTGTACCAGTTCCGCGAGGGATAGCATTACAAGCCGCTCTAGGTGCACTCGAAGCACTAATAGCCACATCGAGGCCAAGACTTATGGAAATCAACCCTTGAAATGGCGAGAGCTTTTGATTGGGAGCGCTATAAGGGGCGAGTTTCAATCTCGCCCCCGTGTGTCTTCGGTTAACGGCGCATTTAATGGGTGAGCGTCAGCGGTTGTGGTGCTTGGTCAGGGAGTCGTAGGCCACGGACAAGGCCTCTTCCCTGGTTGCGGTTCGCTCGCCGAACCTAGTCTGGAGAACCTCCACCAAGCAGGAAATCTGCTCACCCCGGCCCACTTCGGTAAGGCTCTTAACCTGTGGTGGAGCGGATACGGACAGAGTGATCGGGTCGGCGATCACGCTGAAGTAGCAGCCCGCCTCTTTGGCGGACCAACCTACCGGTGTACCATCGTCCTTCCAGCTAAAGGGCGCCCACTCGACTTTTCCGCTCTCCGTCCGTGCTATCAACTGGGTTACGACATCCTCGACGGTCGCCATAACAGGTCTCCATCATCCGACGTATTTCAGAGCCACCTGGAGTCCGGCCAAGACCACAGTCGCTGCGGCAATTGCGACCACCAAGGTCCACTTTATGCCCCTCAGCTCGCCCCTGAGATCTGCCACTTCACCCTTGACCTCGCCGCGAACTTCCGCGATTTCGGCCTTGGTGGCCAAGTGGCCGTACTCACCTTCCAGGCGACTTACCCGCTGCTCGACCATGGCTGTCTCTTTGTTGTCCTCGCGGGCTCTTGACCCTTAATTTCTATCAATTGTAGCGAGGGAATAGTGTAGAAGCCAATCGGTGCGATGAAACTATGTGGGGGTGCTGGCATGGGCGGTCTGAATGAACCAGCGGCTGTGCGTTTGCCGATTATCTCAGGAAATTCCTATATAAAACGTAGGGGCGGGTATGGAACCCGCCCCTACGTTTTGCCAATGCTGCCAGAGGGGTTAGTTGGGGGTTACGGCCAGGGCTCGGATTTCGCCGAATTCCTTCTGGAGCTTGCTCCAGGAGTTGCCGCCGTCTTCGCTGACGTAGACGTAGCCGAAGAGGCTGGCTGCGGCGATGACGTTGGGCATCTCTGGGTTGTTGGCGAGCCAGTAGACGACGGAGTTGGGCTCTACGGGGAGGTCGGCCTTCTCCCAGCTCTGGCCGCCGTCGCGGGTCACCTGGACCGCGCCGGTTACGCCGGGAATGAAGTCGCCGTTGCCGACGAACATGGTGCTGGGGTCGTCGGCCTTGATGACCATGCCGCGGCAGTAGGAGCGGGCGTCGGCCTCACTGAACTTGGGGAAGTAGTGGTAGTCCCAGCTCTCGCCCTCGTCGTTGCTGGTGGCGATGCCGAAGGGGCTGGTGCAGTAGAAGGCGGGGTTGTCGCCGGTGCGCAAGGCCATGCCGTGGATGTCGCCGTGGAAGGGGTCGGGGCCGAGGTCGGGCAGGTGGAGCCAGGAGTCGCCGCCGTCGAGGCTCTTGTACATGCCGTCGACCTCGATGCCGGCCCAGACGGTGCGGCTGTCGCGGGGGTCGACGATGATGTTGGTGGTGCGCGGCGTGCCGATGGGGCAGTCCATGTTGACGCCCATATCGAGCTTGTCCCAGGACTTGCCGCCGTCGCGGGAGCGGAAGCCCTCGGGGCGGGTGCCGGCGAAGATGGTGTCGGGGTTGCCGGGATCGACGGCCACGGACCAGACCTGAAGGTCGGAGAAGGGGCTGTCGACGGAGTCCCAGGTGAGTCCGTTGTCCTCGGTTCGGAAGAGGCCGAGGCCATCGGAGCCGGCGAGGACGCGGTGGGGGTTGTCGGGGTACGTTCGGAGGGCGCGGATGTTGGACTCGCTGGGCATTGGGTTGCGGATCTTGGTCCAGGTGTCGCCGCTGTCGGAGCTGATGTTGAGCCCCTGCCCAACGGTGCCCACGAAGATGGAGTAGTTACCCATTTTCATGCCTCCCAAATCGCATTTCTGAATTTGTTCGGGTCTGCCGCTATGATAGCCGCAGCAGGGCGAAAATTCCAGCGGAAGGCGACGGCGTCAGGCAGCGTCAAGTTGACACTCTTCCGAGTGCCGTTCAAAATTAAGTGAGAGGGGACACCGGATTTCAGGGAGGTAAAGGATGACTACCACAGCTTACACGGTTGACGAATTCATTGGAGACGTCCGCGAGATATTTGACGCGACGCAGGACCCGCTGGCGCAGGCCAAGGGCGTCTCCGAGAAGATGGAAGTGCTGCTGCAGACTCCGGGCTGGCTGGAGGAGCGTCTGGAGCTGCCGGACGAGGGCGGCTACGGGCGCTATGACCTTCATCTGGACGAGGACTACGGGCATCCGGGCGGCGGGTTCTGGCTGATGGCGTCGGTGCAGAAGCCGGACCAGGACAACCTGCCCCACGACCACGGCGCGGCCTGGGTGGTCTACGGCGTGTATGAGGGCGCGATCAAGCAGACGAAGTTCCGCTGGTTCTACCCGGGCGAGGGCGTGGACTCAGTGCAGATCGGCGAGACCGGGGACTTCGTGCAGGACGACGGCAAGGTGGCCTTCTTCCTGCCGGGCGAGATCCACAACACGCTGAACGTGACGGGCGACCGGGCGCTGGTGGTGCGGCTGGAGTCCCAGAAGCTGGACCGGGTGGTGCGCTACCAGTACAACCCCGAGAAGGGACGGTCAAGGTAATGGAGACGTAAGGTCGCCTTTGACCGCTCCACGGGCTAGTCCGTGAACGCAGAAACGCCCCTCGATATGAGGGGCGTTTCCTTTTGCGATGCCAGGATGTCGTTGTAGCTAGAATGGCGGCAAACTCGGATTACATCATTCTCAATTCTGATAGTGGCCGACGATATGCGAAACCCATGTCAAAATCTAACATCGGCACGTCTTCCCTTCGTCAAGTTTTCCACCACTCCTTCTCCCCAAAGTGCATCTCGAACTCTGTCCCCAACCTCCAAAACGGTCTTGTCGATGGTAACTTGGCACTTTTTTCGATCAGTCGGAATCCAATCACAAGTTAGGTTACCGAGTTTCGCTCTGATTCTGTAACTCAAAGTTGTTATCTCATTGGCCTTGGCTATAAAATCATCATCAAGCCATTCTGTGGAATTTCCAACTTCAAGAAGAACTCTGTCGCCTCTGTCGTTAGATCGCTCTATGTCAAATCGTACGCCATCTATGCGATTATTACATCCTTGTCCATCGGTATGTCTTGGTTTCTCGAGGATGCTCAGCGAATTAGTTTGTTACGTTTTGCATATGCCGATCCAGTCTGCAAGTCTGAGTAACATTTTCACTTGCTGTTTTATCTCAAAGTCAGACCATCGACAATTTACATTGTAATCATTGACGACTCTGAACGCCATCGGCCACCAAATCGGTTCACGATTGACCGCGGAACTAGGCTTTCGGGGAATTCTGAATTTCATATGTGTATTAACTTCTTCATCGCTATCTCGTCGAACTGCTTAGTCAAATAGCATTGGCCGTGCAATGTGTCAAGATGCCACCCAAATGAATACACTTAACTCGCACGGAAATGAAATAAGATTATCCTCGGGGTCGAATTCAATCAATAATTCCACAACAAAAGCATCGGGCTTGCTGATTGGATGTACCCCTTCTTATACTGTAGATGTAACCAGTTTTCGAAGCCCTTCAAGGGCCCATTCGCCCCCGACATGCTTGTCCGCGAATCACGGACTGGAGAACACCCCGCTTCTCCCTAACCATAACGGCGTGTTCTTGTGTTCCCAGTTTTCCACCATATTCATCATAAGTAGACTGTCGTGCTCATATCTGTGCAATAGATAGCTTATAAGTAACGTCTTGTCGTCGCAGTCGTGTTCAAGCCATGTAAACGTTTACCCGGTCGCTCTCCCATTCCCGAAGTACACGTTCGTCATGTTCCAATTGTCGTTTGATCGGATTGTAAAAAGAATAGATGACGATGATATCTCTCCTGATCGGAGCGAGTTGGTATAACGAAATTATCCGCCTCGCGTCTCATCCAGACGGACCCACCTATCTCTCACCTACCCCCCTACCCCTTTCGCCAATTGAATCCCCTTACATCCTCTTCATCAAGCCAGTTGCCCTACAATATCCACACATGTCTTGGTCGTTACCGTTTCTCCCTCGTCCTCCACCGTTGGCTCCGGGCATTCGAGCGACCACTCGCCGCATGCGCCTGTACCTTCTCTTTTGTCCGCGAGACACAGGGCACATCACTCAAAAGGAAAGGGGTCGACAAGCGTTAGAAACCTTAGACGGGCGCTTCGTTCATTTTCTTGCGAATTTCACTCAGCTCGTCGCCTGCCCATTGCCATATTAGCGGCCGTCTACCCATAATCAATGCCTCCAAAAAAACAGACTGAAAATTGAGCAACCTGGCAAAAACCTTCACGGAGAGAGCATTTCAACCAGTTATCCAATTGCATGAAAACTCAGACATCTGGGCGGAGGGATTCGGGTGGCGGGAACAGTCGATTTGCGCCTGTTTAGTCGAAGCCCTCCTCCGTCTCCCTTTGCTGCGTATTCGGGGAGTGCTTTTTTTGTTGGTGCTGTCTTCTCGGCCCCGGCGTGAAAAAGGGAGGGGTCCTACACGGGTTGCGAGGGGTTGCCCGTACCCCCCGGCTCCGGCACGGCTCCTGGTCGCGAGTCGCCTTTTGCGGGTCATCAGGATGGCTTGCTGGGCGTTTCCTGTTCGTCGGGGGTGCCGGGTTGCGGTGTTCTGGGTGGGGGTGCCGTCCTTGCCTCCACTCTCCTCCCCCCGGGGGCTGGACGTTGTCGGACGGCGCGACGCTGGAAAGTAGGCCTCGCGGGACCAGCCGGCGGCCACGCGCCGCCACTGCCCCGAGCGTCCGCCCGGCCCCCCCCCCCCCCTCGGTCCTCGCCCCGCAGCCCCGGTGTCACGAGGGGGACGGGCCGTCGCGTCGCGCGAGCCGGGGCTGGTCGGCCTCGAGCTCCTCCCCGCTGGGGGTGATGACTGATTCCCCGAGGCCGGGCGCGGCCCCCTGCCCGTACCGGAGCCGTCTGCTAGGGGGCCCGCCCGCCGGGGGGCAGTCCGTGTTGCCCTCCCGCGGTCAGCCCCCGGCTTATCCCGTTGAGGTGGATCGCCTCCGACCAAAGCGCGCGCTCTCGCCAGCCCGCCACCCGGGCGCCGGGCGCGTTCCCCGGACCCCCCCCCCGCAGTGATGGGCCCTGCGACGGGCACCCATGGCGATGGGCTGCGGACACAGCCTGGAACCCGCGGCTCGGGGCCCCGCCCCTGGAGGTCAGAACGGAGAGTGAACGCGGGGTTGCACGCAGGCCGCCCCCATCGGGGCCCGGGTCTTGTGCGATTGCCGGAACACACACACCCAGGCCGCTGTTGGCGGGAGGGTGGAATGGGTCCTCTGCAGGACAGCCTTCATGGCGGCGTAGAGCGTTGGCTTGTTGTAGGGAAGGTTGGGGTTGATGTGCCTGGGCCTGGGGCGGAGTGCCGTCAAAGTCGACGCAAGCCCTAAATCGCAATCGATGGACTTTGAGCGTGGATGTCCGCATGGGACTGGGGGTCGCTGCCTGTCGGTTGTCCATGTGGGTCGCGAAAGCTCCACTCGCCTGGGGCAAGGAGGAGAAATCGGCGCGCGTGAGGGCCTCGGTGGTGTCGGGGTCGGCACTGTAGCTCTTCATCTACTTCGAGGTCGTAATCGTCGACGAGGCAGGAAGCCGGACCGCTGACGCCAAAGGCGGCGGCAGGCCCGCCAGGGCCTGGACGTCGCCGCAGGGACACATATTGTCGGGACCGCGACCGTTCTTGTCGGGCTGCGCCAGCCGAGCTGTTAGCGCATCGCCCTCTCGTCGAGCTTGAGGGGCGGAGGAGGCTCAGGACCTCCTGGAGCTTCGGGGTAGTCGCGGCCGTTGCCGCCCGGCGCCCCGTCCTCCGATGTACGGTCTGATGTCGATGCCACAGCTCCCAGCCGGTCAGCCACGTCGTTTACGAAAATGGGCTTGAACACGACAGATGTCGAGGCCGGCGGCTGACCCCATGTCGGATTGGTCAGTGTGGCGCAGATGTCGCCGGGGAGGACGGTCGATCGCCGAGGGCGTTATCACTCCCGTCGAGGGCATGGGGGCCCAATGCTGCCGCGATGCGGCGGCCGGGTGCGGCCCGGTCGGACCTGCTTGGCCACTCGAGCGTTGACCCGGGAGGTGGCGGCAGTCCCGCCCGTGGCTTGCTCCCGGCCGCGCTGGGACGTGCGCCCCCCCCCCCGGGCGGGCCAATGTGCGGCAGCGCTCATGCGGGCGTTCTTGCTGCTCTCACGGGTCGGGATCGGTGGTCAGCATGGGGGTCTCCTCTTCGACGGGCGTCAACGTCGGCGCGGGTTGGAGGGCATAGTGCCCCCGGGGGGCTGGGGGTGCACTGTAGGGGCGGTAGGGCAGTGGAGGTGACTCCTGCGCGCCGTTGTTGCCTGGGCATCCCTTGTCAGTCAGTGTGCATTACTAACAACGCCAGTTTCACGATTCTCGAACTTGAGTCCCAGTCAGCTGAGACACACTAATATTATTAACAGGTGGTTTGTGCTCAGGCCACCTGTGCTTGTTGGTCCGGTTGAGGCGCTTGCCCTTTGTTACTAATCCTGTTGAGGCATTCTCCCCTAGGAACTCCTTTTCGGGGGGGTCCCGGGGCCGGCGCCTCGCCACTGCGTTGGCTATCACTGCCACGATGTCCTGCTCGTTTCATAGCGCCCTCGGCAGGGCCGGCCGATATCATCACTGGGCCGCACACGCGAACCACGACACCGATCTTGACCGCCTCCGGTCTCTGCCTCTCAAGGGAGACCTGAGTGGTTTGGATCGACATCCCATGGGCCCCTCCCCTGGACGGCGGCACACGTCCTCCCTCCCTGGTGCGCCGGTCTCCTTTATATCGCCGGTCCTGCCCCCCCTACCGTGCCCGCCCGCCGACCCCCGCCGTCGTGCGCCGGGGGCCCGTCTTGATGTCTGGCCGCCCCCACTCCAGCGTCGGCTGCTGCCATTATCCTTCTCCGCGGCCGAAGACCTTTTCCTTTGCACCGGAAGCTTGTACTTTTAAATACGGATGAAAAATGTTCTCTATAAATCCGAATAATTTTTCCATCGCAATCTGCAAGACTTCCTTGACCTTGTGATTGGTGTTAGTCACACCCTCCCACCATTCTGGCATTCTATTAGAGGTCTCTGAAGTCTCCTGTCACCCATCGGAGTTCTCTTACTCACACATACACTTACACTAGAACGAAATTATTAATGCACTTGAAGGAATGTGTAAATGATGTTATTTAGTTCTTGCAAAATTTAGAATAGTAAGATCTCTATATTCTAACAGTAGACACAATAGTAAATAAGAAAATTTAACCAAGAAAACATAAAAAAGAAAGTGTCACGCAGCACAGGACGGCCTTGCCCTTCTTATGTGGCGATCTCCTGGACCGCCCGACCATTCTCACGTGCCCACGCCATAGTGGTCTGTAGATTTACTCTGGATGCGCGCGCCACCGGTAGACAGCAGCTTTTTTTCCGCAAAAACTCGGCGCGACCCTCCCTCATGAACCCGTCACTTTGCCTTTGGCCCAGACGGTCCCACCCGATTTCTATTCTTCCGTTCTTGCCTTGGATCCCGTCGGGACAGGCGGGCCTCTCACGATTCGTGTACAAGACAAGTT